AACCAATTGCCTATACGATTTTTCCCTATTTATATAATGTTCATTCTACAAAATGTACACATATTTTTGGCATTTTGCGACTATATATAAAATACACATATCTAACGCCCACTCATTCTTTTTTAAAACTGTACGTTAAGTATACAGTCACTTCTGGGGAATCGGCACTGTCTGAATACGATGACACTCACATAAGGTCTGATCTTTACTTCTGGATCAGCAAGTCCCAGTTGAACTTTCTTCGATTCAGGCGGGTACCGGATCGCAAAATCCTAAAGAAGAATTACTTAATCTAGCAGCATGACCTAAAATACAGTGATCACATAGAACACAGTCAGGATCATAAAGCATATAGGGTACATGTCCAAACAGTAGTCACACAGAACACAGTCAGGATCATACGACATATCGGGTACATGTCTGTACAGTGGTTACACAAAACACAGTCAGGATCATAAAACATATCGGGTACATGTCTGTACAGTGGTTACACAAAACACAGTCAGGATCATAAACCATATCGGGTACATGTCCTTACAGTAGTCACACAGAACACAGTCAGGATCATACAGCATATCGGGTACATGTCTGTACAGTGGTTACACAAAACAGTCAGGATCATAAACCATATCGGGTACATGTCCTTACAGTAGTCACACAGAACACAGTCAGGATCATACAGCATATCGGGTACATGTCTGTACAGTGGTCACACAGAACACAGTCAGGATCATACGACATATCGGGTACATGTCCTTACAGTGGTCACACAGAACACAGTCAGGATCATACAGCATATCGGGTACATGTCTGTACAGGGGTCACACAGAACACAGTCAGGATCATACAGCATATCGGGTACATGTCTGTACAGTGGTCACACAGAACCCAGTCAGAATCATACGACATATCGGGTACATGTCTGTACAGTGGTTACACAAAACACAGTCAGGATCATAAACCATATCGGGTACATGTCCTTACAGTCGTCACACAGAACACAGTCAGGATCATAAAGCATATCGGGTACATGTCTGTACAGTGGTCACACAGAACACAGTCAGGATCATAGAGTATATCGGGTACATGTCTGTACAGTGGTCACACAGAACACAGTCAGGATCATACAGCATATCGGGTACATGTCTGTACAGTGGTCACACAGAACACAGTCAGGATCATACGACATATCGGGTACATGTCTGTACAGTGGTCACACAGAACACAGTCAGGATCATACGACATATCGGGTACATGTCTGTACAGTGGTCACACAGAACACAGTCAGGATCATACGACATATCGGGTAAATGTCTGTACAGTGGTAACACAAAACACAGCCAGGATCATAAAGCATATCGGGTACATGTCCTTACAGTAGTCACACAGAACACAGTCAGGATCATACAGCATATCGGGTAAATGTCTGTACAGTGGTAACACAAAACACAGTCAGGATCATAAAGCATATCGGGTACATGTCCTTACAGTAGTCACACAGAACACAGTCAGGATCATACAGCATATCGGGTAAATGTCTGTACAGTGGTAACACAAAACACAGCCAGGACCATACGACATATCGGGTACATGTCTGTACAGTAGTCACACAGAACACAGTCAGGATCAGACAGCATTTCGGGTACATGAAACGTATTCAATTATGGATAAAATCTTGAAAAAAGACGTCATATGTGATTTGTTCAGCAAATACTCTCATTAAGATTGCTTAATGGTCCCCGGTCATGGAGTCCAAGATATGGGTTATTTTTTACCCCTCCTATTTGTGGTGGTTTAAGGTAAAAACAATTGCGACGTCTCTTTTTCAACAGACATGGTGTAGCATGTTAGCATTAAGTTATAGACCTTCCCTCTCTGTCTATTCTGGAGGTGATTTGTATCTCCTGTCATGTCGTACCCTAAAGTGCATATTGTATTATCAACCTTGTTAAGTATGATGTGTTTAGTGTACAATGGTACTGTCCGAAATGCTCCACAAACCAACACACCAAATATCTTACCTGATAGGAAGAGAGATGAATACGATTTTCGCAGGAAAATGTTTGGATACCAGATAGAAATGTATAGTCATTTTTTAATTAATGCGACTTATTCAGTTTTGTGTTTTAGACGTAAAATATGCGGTTTCGAAATGGACGAGTCCATACTAGATGTGTTGTCCTCCGTCAGCTCTGTTCAGCGATCTATAATATACAAAATGTCATTAGACATCGAAAACCTATATATAGTATACAGTATGTAATTAGCCACCGTACAACTATATATAGTATACAGTATGTAATTAGTCCTCCGACAGCTTTGTGTAGTATACAGTATGTAATTAGTCATCGTACAACTATATATAGTATACAGTATGTAATTAGTCCTCCGACAGCAATATATGGTATTCAGTATGTAATTAGTCCTGGTACAGCTATATATAGTATACAGTATGTAATTAGTCCTCGTACAGTATATATAGTATACAGTATGTAATTAGTCCTCGTACAGTTATATAAAGTATACAGTATATATGGTAGAGCTATATATAGTATACAGTATGTAATTAGTAGCAATATATGGTATTCAGTATGTAATTAGTCCTGGTACAGCTATATATAGTATACAGTATGTAATTAGTCCTCGTACAGTTATATAAAGTATACAGTATGAAATTAGTCCTCCGACAGCTATATATAGTATACAGTGTGTAATTAGTCCTGGCACAGCTATATATAGTATACAGTGTGTAATTAATCCTGGCACAGCTATATATAGTAAACAGTATGTAATTAGTCCTGGTACAGCTATATATAGTAAACAGTATGTAATTAGTCCTGGTACAACTATATATAGTAAACAGTATGTAATTAGTCCTAGTACAGCTATATATAGTATACAGTATGTAATTAGTCCTGGTACAGCTATATATAGTATTCAGTATGTAATTAGTCCTCGTACAGCTATATATAGTATACAGTATGTAATTAGTCCTCCGACAGCTATATATAGTAAACAGTATGTAATTAGTCCTCCGACAGCTATATATAGTATACAGTATGTAATTAGTCCTGGTACAGCTATATATAGTATACAGTATGTAATTAGTCCTGGTACAGCTATATATAGTATATAGTATGTAATTAGTCCTGGTACAGCTATATATAGTATACAGTATGTTATTAGTCCTCCGACAGCTATATATAGTATACAGTATGTAATTAGTCCTGGTACAGCTATATATAGTATACAGTATGTAATTAGTCCTCCGACAGCTATATATAGTATACAGTATGTAATTAGCCACCGTACAACTATATATAGTATACAGTATGTAATTAGTCCTGGTACAGCTATATATAGTATACAGTATGTAATTAGTCCTCGTACAGCTATATATAGTATACAGTATGTTATTAGTCCTCCGACAGCTATATATGGTATTCAGTATGTAATTAGTCCTGGTACAACTATATATAGTATACAGTATGTAATTAGTCCTGGTACAGATATATATAGTATACAGTATGTAATTAGTCCTGGTACAGATATATATATAGTATACAGTATGTAATTAGTCCTCGTACAGCTATATATAGTATACAGTATGTAATTAGTCCTCCGACAGCTATATATAGTATACAGTATGTAATTAGTCCTGGTACAGCTATATATAGTATACAGTATGTAATTAGTCCTGGTACAGCTATATATAGTATACAGTATGTAATTAGTCCTGGTACAGCTATATATAGTATACAGTATGTAATTAGTCCTAGTAGAGCTATATATAGTATACAGTATGTAATTAGTCCTCCGACAGCTATATATAGTATACAGTATGTAATTAGTCCTGGTAGAGCTATATATAGTATACAGTATGAAATTAGTCCTCCGACAGCTTTGTGTAGTATACAGTATGTAATTAGTCCTCCGACAGCTATATATGGTATTCAGTATGTAATTAGTCCTCGTACAGCTATATATAGTATACAGTATGTAATTAGTCCTCCGACAGCTATATATGGTATTCAGTATGTAATTAGTCCTCGTACAGCTATATATAGTATACAGTATGTAATTAGTCCTGGTACAGATATATATAGTATACAGTATGTAATTAGTCCTCCGACAGCTATATATAGTAAACAGTATGTAATTAGTCCTGGTACAACTATATATAGTAAACAGTATGTAATTAGTCCTCGTACAGCTATATATAGTATACAGTATGTAATTAGTCCTCGTAGAGCTATATATAGTATACAGTGTGTAATTAGTCCTGGCACAGCTATATATAGTATACAGTGTGTAATTAGTCCTGGCACAGCTATATATAGTATACAGTGTGTAATTAGTCCTGGCACAGCTATATATAGTATACAGTGTGTAATTAGTCCTGGCACAGCTATATATAGTATACAGTGTGTAATTAGTCCTGGCACAGCTATATATAGTATACAGTGTGTAATTAGTCCTGGCACAGCTATATATAGTATACAGTGTGTAATTAGTCCTGGCACAGCTATATATAGTATACAGTGTGTAATTAGTCCTGGCACAGCTATATATAGTATACAGTATGTAATTAGTCCTGGCACAGCTATATATAGTATATGGTATGTAATCAGTCTATGATCAGCTCTACATGAAACAGTATAATTCTTTAAAATTAGTAAACGTAATAAAATGTTGATAATTAAGATCCGTGATCAGATATACTGTATGTATTGTATACAAGGACGCGAGTATCAAAGTTTACTAATAGTGGTTAGTTCTAGATTGATTAAGTGTTGTTAATACTTCTTTACTAATCCTCATGTGGACATGCCAAACATTTTCTCACTACGAGACCAGTAATCGTCAGCCCTTGAACTATGACCGGCCTCTCACGTGATGGAACTACGCAGAATGTGGGGACCGTTTCCTGTCCCAAGTATGCCGAGTCTTACTTGGTATAGTTAAGTAGGGAAAAGTATCGGGGTTTCTGTTACTAAGACGGAAGTCCCGGGAGCTGTGAAGTCTCCACTCCCTTGATACGCGGGTTAAAGTTTGTGATCTTACCTATACGGCGGTAACCGATGATAATCCTCCCCCCTTTATTGAGTGTTAGATTCAGATGACAGATTCACTGTGTGATGGTGGATGGAAATTTTAGGAAACATCAGATACTTCATGTTATAACATTGCTTCAAGATGTTTTTCCTAGAGTGTTTTTTATAGAGATTATCGCCGATCTTGCTTTCGTTTCGATTTTACAAATATGTATCGGGTTTTGTCGCTGGTTTTTACACTACAGTTTTACTTCCAAACAACATCAGGATTTCTGTCCATTTTGAGGTTCTGTAATGAAACTTCTTCGTTTACCTTCTCGACAAGGTGTGTATCGTGTTCTGCAAATGCAGGAGTGGAATGTCCCACAGAAACAGTCAAACTCACCAAGCACCGCGGAATGTCCGACTGTACCTACACGATCAATTTCGCTGGTATTGAATTTTCATCAGGAGGCTGTCGACATGTATGTCAAGAGATGGCGCAGATCCCGAAATGTTGTGAGGGCTACTGGGGATCTAACTGCGACCGTAAGTACTTATATTTTCATAGGTGACTGTGATATCATCAACAATATGGACAATTGTACATCGACTATAATGCATTGGTGACCAGTGACTATATCTGTATCTCCACTGTGATGTATTGGTGACAGTGACTATATCTGTATCTCCACTGTGATGTATTGGTGACAGTGACTATATCTGTATCTCCACTGTGATGTATTGGTGACAGTGACTATATCTGTATCTCCACTGTGATGTATTGGTGACAGTGACTATATCTGTATCTCCACTGTGATGTATTGGTTGAAGTACGTGATCTATGGAGAAGACAGGATTCGTTATGATTTAAAGATTTTTGTCATTAAATAAAAATCGATATATTTGTTGTAAATGTCGACATATTCTCTACATTTTTTGAGTTACGTTTAGTCAATAAAACAGTGGTAAACTGGTTGCTTTGGAACAACGTGTACATTTGTATCGGTGATCCTTTCTGTTTTAACTGTTTTATATACGTTAAAGCATTGCCTCAATCCTCAGTCGACAAAGAGTCCTTGAAACACTTACCAATAAGAACACACATACCAGTAGGCGTTCATATTAAAGTCACAACATCCTCATTAAAAATCTGCTTCCGTTACGGATGTACTATATATGGCATTAGACTGGCAATTACATTGATAACTTGGTTAATAGTAATTGTTCAGAAGTAATGTGTACGTATGTTCTGTCTGTGGGTCCATGTGTAGATTGTTCAGTGTCCGGTTAGTTTGTTGGCAAGTGTCTTCTTACATTCTTGCCTTATTTGTCTTCAGTGTGAAATTGCTTCAGATTTTCAAAGATAATGAAAAAAAAAAAATTGTACAGGGTAGCATGTTAAGACAATTTTTTTTATTAACAATACAATACGTTTGGACACCTGTTTAATGTATATACAGTCTGGATAGTAGATTTTGTTGTTGCAGAGTTACAATAAATACATCGTAATTAAAATAGGCTGAATATCATATCACATAAGTAAACATGTAGCACATTTGTTATTTATTGTTCAATATTTCTATACATGTATATTAAACAAAGTCTACTAAAAATATCTTTGGATGACATCGCTGATATCAGTCCAGAAACTGTAGCTATAAAAGTTACATACAGTCTATCTGCTGTGGTATCTGTAGTGCTTCTTACATATGGAACATGGAATTTAAAACGTTTGGAGTTAAACGTTTTAGAAAGTGAGATCTGCTTTCCTAAATTCATAAAAATAAAAGATAGTCTTCCATTGAAGACTGCTGAAAAGAGTGCAAGAATGAATAAAGATATCTTTGGTTTTAGTTTTCATAGTTTAAAAATGTCTTAAGGCACATGTTATTGCTTGGTGTCGTACTACTATGGTGAATGGCGTCGTCCTACCATGGTGAATGACGTCGTCCTACCATGGTGACTGACGTCGTCCTACCATGGTGAATAGCGTCGTCCTACCAAGGTGAACAGCGTCGTCCTACCATGGTGAATGACGCCGTCCTACAATGGTGAATGGCGTCATCCTACCAAGGTGAATGACGTCGTCCTACCAAGGTAAATGACGCCGTCCTACCATGGTGAATGACGCCGTCCTACAATGGTGAATGGCGCCATCCTACCATGGTGAATGGCGTCGTCTTACCATGGTGAATGACGTCGTCCGACCATGGTGAATAGCGTCGTCCTTCCATGGTGACTGACGTCGTCCTACCAAGGTGAATAGCGTCGTCCTACAAAGGTGAATAACGTCGTCCTACCAAGGTGAATGGCGTCGTCCTACCATGATGAATGGCGTCGTCCTACCAAGGTGAATGGCGTCGTCCTACCAAGGTGAATAGCGTCGTCCTACCATGGTGAATAGCGTCGTCCTACTATGGTGAATGACGCCGTCCTACCATGGTGAATGACGTCGTCCTACCAAGGTGAATGGCGTCGTCCTACCATGGTGAATGGAGCCGTCCGACCATGGTGAATAGCGTCGTCCTACCAAGGTGAATAGCGTCGTCCTACCATGGTGAATGACGCCGTCCTACAATGGTGAATGGCGCCGTCCTACCATGGTGAATGACGCCGTCCTACAATGGTGAATAGCGCCATCCTACCATGGTGAATGGCGTCGTCTTACCATGGTGAATGACGTCGTCCGACCATGGTGAATAGCGTCGTCCTACCATGGTGAATGGCGTCGTCCTACCAAGGTGAATAGCGTCGTCCTACCATGGTGAATGACGTCGTCCTACCATGGTGAATAGCGTCGTCCTACCAAGGTGAACAGCGTCGTCCTAACATGGTGAATGACGCCGTCCTACAATGGTGAATGGCGTCGTCCTACCAAGGTGAATGACGTCGTCCTACCAAGGTAAATGACGCCGTCCTACCATGGTGAATGACGCCGTCATACAATGGTGAATGGCGCCGTCCTACCATTTTGAATAGCGTCGTCTTACCATGGTGAATGACGTCGTCCTACCAAGGTGAATGGCGTCGTCCTACCAAGGTGAATGGCGTCGTCCTACCATGGTGAATGGCGCCATCCTACCATGGTGAATGGCGTCGTCTTACCATGGTGAATGACGTCGTCCGACCATGGTGAATAGCGTCGTCCTTCCATGGTGAATGGCGTCGTCCTACCAAGGTGAATAGCGTCGTCCTACCATGGTGAATGGCGTCGTCCTACCAAGGTGAATGGCGACGTCCTACCATGATGAATGGCGTCGTCCTACCAAGGTGAATGACGCCGTCCTACCAAGGTGAATAGCGTCGTCCTACCAAGGTGAATGGCGTCGTCCTACCATGGTGAATGGAGCCGTCCGACCATGGTGAATAGCGTCGTCTTACCATGGTGAATGACGTCGTCCTACCATGGTGAATGGCGTCGTCCTACCAAGGTGAATGACGTCGTATTACCATGGTGAATGGCGTCGTCCTACCATGGTGAATGCCGTCGTCCTACCATGGTGAATGGCGTCGTCCTACCATGGTGAATGGAGCCGTCCGACCATGGTGAATAGCGTCGTCTTACCATGGTGAATGACGTCGTCCTACCATGGTGAATGGCGTCGTCCTACCAAGGTGAATGACGTCGTATTACCATGGTGAATGGCGTCGTCCTACCATGGTGAATGCCGTCGTCCTACCATGGTGAATGACGTCGTCCTACCAAGGTAAATGACGTCGTCCTACCAAGGTGAATGGTGACGTCCTACCATGGTGAATGGCGTCGTACTACCATGGTGAATGGCGTTGTCCTACCAAGGTGAATGGCGTCGTCCTACCATGGTGAATGACGTCGTCCTACCAAGGTAAATGACGTCGTCCTACCATGGTGAATGGTGTCGTCTTATATCTGAACAACTATCGACAAGCAAACTTAAATGCAGGCCTATAAATCATAAGGTATTTGTTAAGTTTCTAGAGTTTTTTTATTAAAACGTTGACCAGAGTAAACATTTCACTGTGATAGATTATGATCTAGTTTTCCCTTGATTTACTTACAATCCAACTTTGCTATATTTTATGAGTGTTTGTTAATTTCAGGGTGTCCGGGTATGCATGGCCGGGTGTGTTCAGGTCACGGGGAATGTAACGATACAATGATAGGAACGGGCACTTGTCAGTGTCACGTAAGTATTTGATGTACATGTATTCCTAATATATTTCATAACTCCGTGATTCATTTTGCACCAGTACGGTCACATCTTTGATAAGATAATACATGTTCCAAACGTCACGTTTTTTGTGAAAGATGTCGACAACTATAATAAATAAACTTACAACACAGCATTTTGTTGATTGATGGTGAATATGTAGAATTTCACGGTCGTCATAATCATCATAATGGGAAATATTATATTCCCATCTGTGATATGCAACAGAAGACGCTGACACTTCCGGGACACCTGCTTTACTCTCCTTGTACTTTTCCATACGCTTCTGTTAGAAGGTTAAAACTATTTTGTTAGGATTTTGCTCGATATGTCGATATACTCTTTGTTTTTGTTTGTTTGTTTGTTTTTATTTTTTTTATTTAAGCTCTTAAAAGCAGGTTGTGGTAGTGATTGAACTCCAACTCACAGATTAAAGGTTAAAAAAGCAGGTTGTGGTAGTGATTGAACTCCAACTCACAGATTAAAGGTTAAAAAAGCAGGTTGTGGTAGTGATTGAACTCCAACTCACAGATTAAAGGTTAAAAAAGCAGGTTGTGGTAGTGATTGAACTCCAACTCACAGATTAAAGGTTAAAAAAGCAGGTTGTGGTAGTGATTGAACTCCAACTCACAGATTAAAGGTTAAAAAAGCAGGTTGTGGTAGTGATTGAACTCCAACTCACAGATTAAAGGTTAAAAAAGCAGGTTGTGGTAGTGATTGAACTCCAACTCACAGATTAAAGGTTAAAAAAGCAGGTTGTGGTAGTGATTGAACTCCAACTCACAGATTAAAGGTTAAAAAAGCAGGTTGTGGTAGTGATTGAACTCCAACTCACAGATTAAAGGTTAAAAAAGCAGGTTGTGGTAGTGATTGAACTCCAACTCACAGATTAAAGGTTAAAAAAGCAGGTTGTGGTAGTGATTGAACTCCAACTCACAGATTAAAGGTTAAAAAAGCAGGTTGTGGTAGTGATTGAACTCCAACTCACAGATTAAAGGTTAAAAAAAGCAGGTTGTGGTAGTGATTGAACTCCAACTCACAGATTAAAGGTTAAAAAAGCAGGTTGTGGTAGTGATTGAACTCCAACTCACAGATTAAAGGTTAAAAAAGCAGGTTGTGGTAGTGATTGAACTCCAACTCACAGATTAAAGGTTAAAAAAGCAGGTTGTGGTAGTGATTGAACTCCAACTCACAGATTAAAGGTTAAAAAAGCAGGTTGTGGTAGTGATTGAACTCCAACTCACAGATTAAAGGTTAAAAAAGCAGGTTGTGGTAGTGATTGAACTCCAACTCACAGATTAAAGGTTAAAAAAGCAGGTTGTGGTAGTGATTGAACTCCAACTCACAGATTAAAGGTTAAAAAAGCAGGTTGTGGTAGTGATTGAACTCCAACTCACAGATTAAAGGTTAAAAAAGCAGGTTGTGGTAGTGATTGAACTCCAACTCACAGATTAAAGGTTAAAAAAGCAGGTTGTGGTAGTGATTGAACTCCAACTCACAGATTAAAGGTTAAAAAAGCAGGTTGTGGTAGTGATTGAACTCCAACTCACAGATTAAAGGTTAAAAAAGCAGGTTGTGGTAGTGATTGAACTCCAACTCACAGATTAAAGGTTAAAAAAGCAGGTTGTGGTAGTGATTGAACTCCAACTCACAGATTAAAGGTTAAAAAAGCAGGTTGTGGTAGTGATTGAACTCCAACTCACAGATTAAAGGTTAAAAAAGCAGGTTGTGGTAGTGATTGAACTCCAACTCACAGATTAAAGGTTAAAAAAGCAGGTTGTGGTAGTGATTGAACTCCAACTCACAGATTAAAGGTTAAAAAAGCAGGTTGTGGTAGTGATTGAACTCCAACTCACAGATTAAAGGTTAAAAAAGCAGGTTGTGGTAGTGATTGAACTCCAACTCACAGATTAAAGGTTAAAAAAGCAGGTTGTGGTAGTGATTGAACTCCAACTCACAGATTAAAGGTTAAAAAAGCAGGTTGTGGTAGTGATTGAACTCCAACTCACAGATTAAAGGTTAAAAAAGCAGGTTGTGGTAGTGATTGAACTCCAACTCACAGATTAAAGGTTAAAAAAGCAGGTTGTGGTAGTGATTGAACAAACGATTAAAGGTTAAAAAAGCAGGTTGTGGTAGTGATTGAACTCCAACTCACAGATTAAAGGTTAAAAAAGCAGGTTGTGGTAGTGATTGAACTCCAACTACAGATTAAACAAAAATGGTTAAAATCCCTTAAAGGTTAAAAAAGCAGGTTGTGGTAGTGATTGAACTCCAACTCACAGATTAAAGGTTAAAAAACCAGGTTGTGGTAGTGATTGAACTCCAACTCACAGATTAAAGGTTAAAAAAGCAGGTTGTGGTAGTGATTGAACTCCAACTCACAGATTAAAGGTTAAAAAAGCAGGTTGTGGTCCAACTCACAGATTAAAGGTTAAAAAAGCAGGTTGTGGTAGTTGAACTCCAACTCACAGATTAAAGGTTAAAAAAGCAGGTTGTGGTAGTTGAACTCCAACTCACAGATTAAAGGTTAAAAAAGCAGGTTGTCCAACTCACAGATTAAAGGTTAAAAAAGCAGGTTCAGATTAAAGGTTAAAAAAGCAGGTTGTGGTAGTGATTGAACTCCAACTCACAGATTAAAGGTTAAAAAAGTGGTAGTGATTGAACTCCAACTCACAGATTAAAGGTTAGTTTGTGTAGTGATTGAACTCCAACTCACAGATTAAAGGTTAAAAAAGCAGGTTGTGGTAGTGATTGAACTCCAACTCACAGATTAAAGGTTAAAAAAGCAGGTTGTGGTAGTGATTGAACTCCAACTCACAGATTAAAGGTTAAAAAAGCAGGTTGTGGTAGTGATTGAACTCCAACTCACAGATTAAAGGTTAAAAAAGCAGGTTGTGGTAGTGATTGAACTCCAACTCACAGATTAAAGGTTAAAAAAGCAGGTTGTGGTAGTGTTTGAACTCCAACTCACAGATTAAAGGTTAAAAAAGCAGGTTGTGGTAGTGATTGAACTCCAACTCACAGATTAAAGGTTAAAAAAGCAGGTTGTGGTAGTGATTGAACTCCAACTCACAGATTAAAGGTTAAAAAAGCAGGTTGTGGTAGTTGAACTCCAACTCACAGATTAAAGGTTAAAAAAGCAGGTTGTGGTAGTGATTGAACTCCAACTCACAGATTAAAGGTTAAAAAAGCAGGTTGTGGTAGTGATTGAACTCCAACTCACAGATTAAAGGTTAACTGTTTTGCTCTTAATCTCACAGGAAGGTTTTACAGGATACGGCTGTGAAAAATGTACAAACGAAACTTTGTATGGACCAACATGCGAGGAAGGTAATTTACTTTTATAAGAAACACAAAAATGTTTGTGGTATCTGGAATCCCTTAAACTTTTATAGGTTTTCACTATAACGTAGGTATCCGCATAAGCTCCAGTAAAGGTAAATCGACGTGAAATATAAGAATGAATACATATTTTTAAGTAATAAGTAAACAAGTGAAAGTGTACAATTAGTACCTTGTACATGTACACTATCGGTCGTGATACATCTGAAGGAAAGGATAAAAAATGCAATAAAAACCAACTTTAGGTTGTCATCAAATCAATGTATGTCCGATGGACGATTTACCGCTGATACTATCTGATGTTTATAAAAGTCGAGATTTTTTCAATTAATAATAGCAAAGTTCACGCGCAGTTGTTATGATAGCCCCGAATCATCTGTTGAAAATAAAATTCTTACTGTGATCTTTAGTTTGTGACTGTGTAAATGGAGTTTGTGATGGCGGAATTCATGGAACAGGGGCATGTGACTGTGAATCAGGATACGAGGGGCCACGCTGTGACCAATGTGAGTATGTTTGTGAATATGTGCGCGAGGAACCTCCCTGTGACCAGTGTAAGTATATTTGTGAATCTGTGCGCGAGGAACCACCCTGTGACCAGTGTAAGTATATTTGTGAATCTGTGTGCGAGGAACCACCCTGTGACCAGTGTAAGTATATTTGTGAATCTGTGTGCGAGGAACCACCCTGTGACCAGTGTAAGTATATTTGCGAATCTGTGTGCGAGGAACCACCCTGTGACCAGTGTAAGTATATTTGTGAATCTGTGTGCGAGGAACCACCCTGTGACCAGTGTAAGTATATTTGTGAATCTGTGTGCGAGGAACCACCCTGTGACCAGTGTAAGTATATTTGTGAATCTGTGCGCGAGGAACCACCCTGTGACCAGTGTAAGTATATTTGTGAATCTGTGCGCGAGGAACCACCCTGTGACCAGTGTAAGTATATTTATGAATCTGTGTGCGAGGAACCACCCTGTGACCAGTGTAAGTATATTTGTGAATCTGTGTGCGAGGAACCACCCTGTGACCAGTGTAAGTATATTTGTGAATCTGTGCGCGAGGAACCACCCTGTGACCAGTGTAAGTATATTTATGAATCTGGTTCAGAAGGGCCACAATATGACCAATGTAAACGGTGTCCTATTTTCCTTTCGATACATTTTATTTTCACGTTCTTCTGTACAAATGTCTTGTCTTTGTAAACAATGTATTGCTAGATCTGTGTTTCTTTTTCACGCTTTAAAGAAGACAATCTGAACTGCTGTCTTAACCGTATCACTGAATCAATCTTATTAATTCTTTTACATCCTAAGGGATCGAGAAATGTTCCAATCTATCTTGCGATGAGAATTCAAGGTGTGCAAGAATCCATGGTTACGTCATGTGTTCATGTAACCATGGTTACGAAAAAAGACCTCCTAATAATACCTGCGAAGGTACGTACCTGTCAAGACTTTCATGTAATTACAGTTTAATGTTAAACAGTTTGGAAAAAGATAAAGAAATAAATCAAATTCGTAAATAAGACATTAGATATATTTTCATTGACAATGCACGAATACATCATTTCTATCGGTCAAAATGTAGAAGATCTGTTAAAGGTGAAATCAGTACCGGATAAATAATTTATTTTTCTAATGTTTGAATTTGTAATGGTAGCAAATGAAAAGCTAGGCATATTTTACAGATGTGATGGAGTGCTATACTCTCTGTAAGAAATTTCTTTTTTTCCTGTTTCTTTGTGTGATATCAAGCAGGACGTGATTAATACTCGTTAGTTTGCCTGTTGGTTCTGTTGTTGAATATCTTGTTCTCACTTGAGAACGACACATTACTCGTCAAAGCAGAAGACGCTTACTCATCCGGAACATCTTGTGTTTTCTCTGTTACTGTCCGATTTCCAATAAATGTGGTACACAGTTGTGTTATCACATAACAAACAATTTGAGGAAGGTCAGGTGGTGTTCCGGACGAGATATAGGGGTCGGGGTGACTTTCACTTTAGCTCGCAATCGCAATTCTAATTGAAGTTGAATTTGGGTTACCATTTTACTGATATATTGGTTTTTTTGTTTTTTTTTTAAAGGCCTTGGATAATCTTGGTGTCAGAATATCCTTAATGTTGTGATAATTACTTTGTGTTAATATCTGGCACAAAATATTCACAACATGTACATTAAAGCAGTGTAATACATAACGATTTAGAGGTCGGTGTCAAGATATAAAAAGGTCGACCTTTCGATTTCTGCTTCTGCATTACTTGGAATGCTATCGAATGCTTTTTTTCAAATCAATTCTTACAAGAAGCAAAGTACGACTGGGTATTGGTGCTTTTAAAAATGACTTTATGTAAAATACAAACGCATACATTTATGTATCAATACTTTACACTTTAATAAACACATCTGATTTTAAATTTGTAAGGAAGATAGTTGATATCCTGTTTTGTTTCCAAGACCAAACTTTGATATTGTTTTTTGTAAACATACATTGTAAAGGATGATGTACATACTATTTCACAAGACCATAAATAAATACAATGTTTTTTCGGTTTCTGTTTTTCTTTTTCTTTTTCATTAGAAATAAACGGTTGTCTTAGAAGCCCATTATGCCACGAGAATGCTATCTGCACACCCGCTGGTCCCTTGCAGTATAACTGTACATGTATCGACGGTTACCGTGGAGATGGATATGATTGTGAACCTATTGATCCATGTCAGGTGGACGATGGCGGCTGCGTGCAGAACTCGTCACTGTGTGTTTATTCTGGACCAGGACAGGTACGTCACGTGATAAATTACGTTGTCATGTGACATTCATAAGTTACTTCTTGTAACAGCAATGACTAATTACTTTTTCTACCAACAGTATTGAGTGTTCAAGATTTTTGATAATGATATTTATTCCAATGTTATCACATGTTACAGTAATCATCTATTTTATGTAACGGGTTTTACGTCCATTTGGAAAAGATAGGAAAGTGAGTAGACAGGAAATAGTATGAAGCGAATGGAGAAATGTGATAGGAAGAAGCTGTTCTTACTCTCTACAGACGATCCCGTTAGGCACGTCTCAGCAAGAGGATGGTTAGGGACAGACAGGATGAAGGGGATCCTTCACTACATGAATTTCAATATTCAATCAGAATTACTTAACAGACAGTCCCATATTCTAACCCTGTCGTGTTGGCAGGCGTTATTTTCTAAGAAACACAGTGGTTAGTTTTTAGTAAGGTGTTGGTACTATATGTTATGGCGTCCATATGTAAATCATTGTCCCTTTCTGTTTGCCCAACTGAAAACAGTAGCTTATCATTCCTAATGTGTCAGTTTTATATTATAACCTTTATGGGGAGGAGGCTTGTTGTGTTTAATTGATTGATACTGTGTTTTTACTGTGTTACTGTGTTTGTTTTATGTGATAATACAGATATTTATTTAAGATGGTAGATAAGTACACCTGACCTTACAACTTTTTTACCCGTCTTGCCATAAAAGGGTGATCATTTCTACCTCAAACGAGACTGGACCATGCACGTGGCCCAGTACCGTGACACATCAATATAGTTTTGTTGTGACTAACATATTGCACATATATGAGCTATAGATCTAAGCTGCGAAAACAACGGAAGTGTAAGGCTGTATATATTTGGGTTATTTCGTAGAAAAAACTACCCTTTCAACGAAATGTATTTCAGTCTGTCTCTCCGATGATTTAAAATAAGGTAACAAACAAAATTGTATGACCTGGGACAAACAATACGTCAGATGACGTTATTATCATACAAATGCCTTGCATTGTTTGTTTGAAATTTGTGGGTAACCCTAGATGCTTCGATTTTAGGTGGAGTCTGTAATACATAGAGAGAGTGCCGGTGTCATATCATATTTGGATCCCCCATCAGAAAATGATGATAGGTGTTATGTTAGCTGTGAGGTTGTTAATTACACCTGGCCAACCAGTCAATTACATAAGAGGATTAAGGGTAGAGGGGTCAAACCTGAGTGAGCACCCATGTGATTTCAAGATTTCAAGATTTTTTTATTACTCTCTGACACACATACGCATGTAACAAGAGGTCATACAATGTTTAAATCAGACATAACAGGGAGAGTAGATAGTACACATTAAAGTTCAACATAATCTCATATATTCAGTATAATTTCGTGGGCAAATTTAGCAATAAAATTTAAGCAAATTCAGTATTATCAAGGACAGATTGAGCAATATTTCATAGAAAGATTCAATAGTATTTCATGGACAGATTCTGTGTTACCATGGACACAATCAGAATTATCATGGACACAGTCATTATTTACATGAGTAAATTTAACATTAACTATAATGAAATCAAAAAGTTACAAACACCAATTATATAACAGATTATAATTTACACATCATCGTCATCATGAACATCAATCATCATCATCATCATCATCATCATCATCATCATCATCATCGTCGTCGTCGTCGTCGTCAATAATAAGGATTATTAATATTTGTTTACATCAAGTTATCATCAATTTCTATATCTACAGCGTATGGTATTTTGCTACTTTACTTCCGCTTATTTCTTTAAAATAACATGCAGTTTCACAAGAAATGTACAGACATTCTTAGTTACTCTTTTATTACATATTGTAAACATTCCTTTCATTTTATCAATATTTGGGTTTGTGTAATAATATTTTGGGATAAATTTTTCTCTAATCTGGCGTATGGATTCTTTTTGACATTTATACAAATAATGAAATTCATCTCCTAGTTCAATACCATTACACAAAGTACAAAATCTTTCATCTCTAGGAATCCCCATCCAGCGGCCAGTTTCCATGGGTAATAGGAAGTTTGATGTACGAAATTTACAAAACACAGCCCGATCCCTCCCATTCAATTGAATTAAATAATTTTCAAAACCAAAATTAGATTTAAAGAATAAATAATTATATCCCCTACTACTTGTTTCTATGTCAGAATACCACTTTTGTATAAACTGATCATTAAGTTTTTGTTTTACAATATGTTTAAGTTTTTGTCGTTCTAGACTAGTCACTTGTTGTGCACATGGCAGGTATACCGAGTGATCAATTAAAGTTACCTGTGGATAAATTCCATTACAGATTGATTGAGGTCATCATTTTACATAAAAGCTGTTTAATATACATTTTCCACTTTAAAATTAATATATTCATATTTTCATAAATATTAAAACTTGGAAATAAATTGCTTAACAATTATCTAATTGAAAAAAAAAGGTTCACATCTTTTATATTGATCCCCCTTTATACCTCATCATACCCCACTAGATACTATTCTGATGGCTATCATATATTGATCCCCCTTTATATCTCATCATACCCCACTAGATACTATTCTGATGGCTATCATATATTAATCCCCCTTTATATCTCATCATACCCCACTAGATACTATTCTGATGGCTATCATATATTGATCCCCCTTTATATCTCATCATACCCCCTAGATACTATTCTGATGGCTATCATATATTGATCCCCCTTTATATCTCATCATACCCCCTAGATACCATTCTGATGGCTATCATATATTGATCCCCCTTTATATCTCATCATACCCCCTAGATACTATTCTGATGGCTATCATATATTGATCCCCCTTTATATCTCATCATACCCCACTAGATACTATTCTGATGGCTATCATATATTGATCCCCCTTTATATCTCATCATACCCCCTAGATACTATTCTGATGGCTATCATATATTGATCCCTCCTTTATATCTCATCATATCCCCTAGATACTGTTCTGATGGCTATCATATATTGATCCCCCCTTTATATCTCATCATACCCCCTAGATACCATTCTGATGGCTATCATATATTGATCCCCCTTTATATCTCATCATACCCCACTAGATACTATTCTGATGGCTATCATATATTGATCCCCCTTTATATCTCATCATACCCCACTAGATACTATTCTGATGGCTATCATATATTGATTCCCCCTTTATATCTCATCATACCCCCTAGATACTATTCTGATGGCTATCATATATTGATCCCCCTTTATATCTCATCATACCCCACTAGATACTATTCTGATGGCTATCATATATTGATCCCCCTTTATATCTCATCATACCCCACTAGATACTATTCTGATGGTTAGCATATATTGATCCCCCTTTATATCTCATCAAACTCCCCTATATCTCTCTGATTGTTATTTTATCTGTAACAATGACCGTCCTCTCCCCCTACACCTCCCACCCCTCTATTGGTATCATTTTGTTTTATTCTATGCATGTATGTTGCACTTCTTTCCTGTAAGTGACTTGATTGATAGAAATGGGTCTTAGTGTACATTATTGGTAAATAATTATTTCCTTTTTACCTCAGAAGTTATACAATGATTTCTTATATATACACAGAGACATATACCTATATGTGTTATATGTATGTCTCTGATATAAATATATATTTACCTCAAAGTTTTATAAATATGTAAGAGTAAACTAATTATATATGCATCACTAAGTGTTAATTTCCCACTCTGCATATATGTTCAGAATTGTATATTGTTTGTAAACTTTGTATTTATAATTTCGACATTAATTGTAACTAATTTTCTCCTTTTCAATTTAAAAATACTACTTTCTTATTGTACGTCTCTTTCTGTTTATAATTATTGACCCTAAAATCTCTCTTTCATCAAAATATATCTTTTTAGGTCAACTGTTAATTATCCCTTTGCACATATATATGCAGAAGTCTACATGCATACATGTATATAAAAATTCTCCATTGAAGCCATAAACTTATTTTCCATGAAGTATATTTGGGACAGGTTATATATAGAGTAATTATGTATGCAGTCATCATAGAAGCCCCTGTCAATCACTACCTGTCCAGGGTAATCTGGAGCTTGACCTCTTCAGCCTTGGCTCCATAGGTGTTATGTTATCACACCTGTACAGGTAACCCAGGTATCAGTGACCAAGTCCCAGACACAGTTACCTATCACATCTCATTTTATTTATAAAGCTATAAAGTTTAAAATAAAATTCACAAAGGGGATCAAAATACTATAGGGGGATCCTTTTCTTATGGGGGAAAAGCGATCCCCGGGTCCTTTTCTGATGAGGGAAAAGTGATCCGGATCCGGTCACAACTACTCTTGACATGTATTTAATGGTAACCCTAGCTGTGCTTCGATTTTAGATGGAGTCTTTAACAAGTAGAAGTCGAGACAGTGTATAAGCAACCTTGAGATACATTTTAGGGTAACCCTTAATGAGAGGGATTGCTGTAATAAGTTAGCACAGATATCCTGTTATTTGAGGTCTGTGTTTTACAGAGGGAATGCCAGTGCAGTCCAGGTTACGAAGGATACACGGACGGCGTGGGGTGTGAACTGATCGATGTTTGTGCCTTTACCGCCGGTCAATGTCATGAACACTCTACTTGTCGGACAGTAGGCCCTGACCAGTTTGAGCAAGTAGTATAGATTATAAACTAAAGTCAGTAGGGAAATCGCTTTAACGGGATATTTAATAAAATAATAAACTTAGATCAAGTTGAAAAGAGAAAAAAAGACGTGATGCAACATAAAATGCACTTTTTCATGCAATGAAATAGTAAGTTATATGTTTGACTCAGTGTCCATGCTTTGACAGGAGCATTGTTAAATTGAAATTTGTTTTACCTGAAAGGCACTGATAATTAGTTTCTTAGATTATATTTAGATTTTTCACATGTCGACTGTTTTACGTAGATGCCGATGCAAGCCTGGTTACGGAGGGGACGGCTTTGAATGCTATACTAATATAGTGGATGTAAGTATCTCTTTCAGGCGATTAAATCTACTGTTGAACTTGGTTTTGACTGATGTATTGTCTGCTTTATGGGTTATTGATATAACCGTCACCTGGGTTATTGATATATCCGTCACCTGGGTTATTGATATAACCGTCACCTGGGTTATTGATATATCCGTCACCTGGGTTATTGATATATTCGTCACCTGGGTTATTGATATATTCGTTACTTGGGTTATTGATATAACCGTCACCTGGGTTATTGATATATTTGTTACTTGGTTATTGATATAACCGTCACCTGGGTTATTGATATATTTGTTACTTGGGTTATTGATATAATATATTTGTCACCTGGGTTATTGATATATTTGTTACTTGGGTTATTGATATAACCGTCACCTGGGTTATTGATATATTCGTCACCGTCACCTGGGTTATTGATATATCCGTCACCTGGGTTATTGATATATCCGTCACCTGGGTTATTGATATATCCGTCACCTGGGTTATTGATATATCCGTCACCTGGGTTATTGATATATCCGTCACCTGGGTTATTGATATATCCGTCACCTGGGTTATTGATATATCCGTCACCTGGGTTATTGATATATCCGTCACCTGGGTTATTGATATAACCGTCACCTGGGTTATTGATATATCCGTCACCTGGGTTATTGATATAACCGTCACCTGGGTTATTGATATATTCGTCACCTGGGTTATTGATATATTCGTTACTTGGGTTATTGATATAACCGTCACCTGGGTTATTGATATATCCGTCACCTGGGTTATTGATATATCCGTCACCTGGGTTATTGATATAACCGTCACCTGGGTTATTGCTATATCCGTCACCTGGGTTATTGATATATTCGTTACTTGGGTTATTGATATAACCGTCACCTGGGTTATTGATATATCCGTCACCTGGGTTATTGATATAACCGTCACCTGGGTTATTGATATATTCGTCACCTGGGTTATTGATATATTCGTTACTTGGGTTATTGATATAACCGTCACCTGGGTTATTGATATATTTGTTACTTGGGTTATTGATATAACCGTCACCTGGGTTATTGATATATTTGTTACTTGGGTTATTGATATAACCGTCACCTGGGTTATTGATATAACCGTCACCTGGGTTATTGATATATCCGTCACCTGGGTTATTGATATATCCGTCACCTGGGTTATTGATATATCCGTCACCTGGGTTATTGATATATCCGTCACCTGGGTTATTGATATATTCGTTTCTTGGATCAACGATTTTCTTTAATATATTGAGATATTTTGGAAGTTCTAAAAGGTTGGTTTTAAGAGATATGACAGAGAGATCATGTTAAGAAACTGTTTATGATGATCCTGTTAATATCATGTTTTACTGCAGAGACGTTATATCATTGAAATTATCATACAATAATACGCGCTTTATTCTTACAATAATTTATTTCTCAACCAGCGAGTGAAAGAACTGAACAAAGAGGACCCCGAACTGACGAATACACTGTCACTAGCGGTACAAGTCCTGGAGAATGTCTACTCATCAGAGCTGAAGAATCACGGGCCATTTACTCTATTCATTCCAAATGACGCAGGATTCCGGACTATACAGAACGTATGTACTTGTTTAGTCACAATGTATATGATATTCTTTTGGTTTGAAAATAAAGTAATGTATCGAGAAAGAATCTATATTTAGACGTCACAAAAATGACGTCAACAAAGAGGATAATAAGATGTAAACAACCTTATATCAATAAGCAAGATGTAACAATATATTGACTAGAGGGAACAACGAAATAGTATAAAATTATCTATTAATTTATTGGTTGTTTATAACGTGATAATTTTGAGCGTGTGAATCATTCAATTGTAAGCTTAGATTTTAAAGTTAGGGATTTTGAAGTAACATAATTTGTTATTACTATGGTGTCTGAGAAATCTATGTGTTTTCCTGTATGTGAACTCTACTTTTTTTATTTTTGGTTGAAAGTTCGAAACGTTCCTGAATGACACAGACCTCGCTCGACAAATTCTCCGCCAACATATTGTAGTGGGTTCACTGACGTTGGAGGATCTTCAGCAAAGTGATGTGTTTTATACACTACAAGGGGTACCGGCTCAGATCATGGTCCGGACGGTGAGTGTACACGGTTATTTCACTACATCATGTCAGGGTGTACCTGCTCAGATCATAGTCCGGACGGTGAGAGTATATGGTTATTTCACTACATCATGTAAGGGTGTACCGGCTCAGATCATGGTCCGGACGGTGAGAGTACATGGTTATTTCACTACATCATGTAAGGGTGTACCGGCTCAGATCATAGTCCGGACGGTGAGAGTACATGGTTATTTCACTACATCATGTCGTCCGGAAAATTAGTGCTTTTGATAATACGCCGATCATGATTCGGATGGTCACTATATATGTTATTACACCACAGTGTGTCAAGGTGTACCGCCAACTTCCGGATGGTGAGTGTACATGTCAATACACCGGTCATGAGCCGGATGGTCACTATATAGGTTATTACGTTTTACAGGCTTAGTTTGTGTAGATGTAGAAGTCAGATGTGCAGATTTTCTTTGACGGTAATAGAAAAGTTGATCCATATATATTAGGAGATTAGTAATAATATTCTGATTTTGTTACAGATATTTCATCAACCACTAAATATTTGTAGTTTAAGAGGCGCTAACTGAAGCAACTCTGTTATTCGTAGAATGAATATGTGTTAAGGAAAACTACAAAATGGAAATACTGATATGATTATTTTATATCTAACAATTCATGCGAGTACGTTGTGAAATTATTTACATCCCATCCAATAGATTAAATGTATGCAAATTGTTTGTCTTCCTTCAGAAAAGACTGGACATTCAGTACCGGTACAAGCTCCACGGGGCGGCTGTGCGGGCCTTGTTGGTGAAATCGGACGTGAAAGCGGCAAACGGTATCATCCATGTCACTTCCAAGATGCTCACAAACTCCCCAATGGTGTTGGGAAATTCAAGTGTAGGTAGACAAAGATGCTCACAAACTCCCCAATGGTGGTAGGAAATTCAAGTGTAGGTAGACAAAGATGCTCACTAAATCTACCATGGTGGTTTGAATCTGAAGTATAGGCACGCGGCAAAGATGCTCACTATCCAGTGTAGGTGGGAAACTCAAGTGTTGGTAGTAATAGATGCTCACTATCTCTCCCATGGTGGTGGGAAACTCAAGTGTGGGTAGGCAAAGATGCTCACTAACTTTCTGATACTAATAGGAAACTCTAGTTAGACTAAGATGCTAAGAATCCCAAAGACATATAATAATTACAGTATATATATTGTTTCTAAAACCAGTACGCACACTTTAACATAGTAAAACTTCAGATTAAAAGGGATAACACATTCGCATTAACAATCCGAACATTTTTTTCAAAAATGCAATACTGGTCCTGATATCTACTGTTTACTTATACATTGTTGTCCTCTTATAAACTGCAGATGATGCCTTTGTGCATGGATAAATGATTCTGAGATCAATTATTTGATAAAAATAAACAGAACATTTATCCTGATAAGTGTCTGTTGATATTTGGGTTATTTGTGTGTGTGTGTGTGCGTGTGTGTGTGTGTGTGTGTGTGTGTGTGTGTGTGTGTGAGGGTGAGTGTGTGTGTCGTTATTCGTTTTGCTGTCTGTTCGGTGTTTTATTCGCTTCCAATTACGTTTTTGTGTTATCACGATATTCATAGTCGATTTCTCACGACCAGTTTATCCACTCAGTTTTTCGGGAAACCCCTCTCAAATTTAGAGCTAATGACATCATGTGACAGTTTTTGAAAACGAGGCATTTCATTTGAGAAAAAGGAAGGGAAACAGTACGTAAGCGTCTGTCCTCGGCAGCCGGTTTTGTCATGGACAAGTAGTCGTTACTCGATAGGTCAAATTTAGTTTCGAATTACGTAAGAGTGACATTAATAGCAAATGTTTCTGTAAAACTCTCCGACCACAGCCATACATATATTGTAAACAACAGGCAAAGCCTTGACCTAGTTCCACTTGCTTTCTCGTCTTATAAGATCCCATTTGCCATGGTAATTGTTGATTATCGGCGAGAATTGTTCCTTTCATAATTATCAATTAACACCTTTATTTGCATAACAAGAGAAAATCGTTTTACCGTCATATCACTGTTAACGTTTTTGCAAAAGAATATTTCACTTACGATACATTTATCGAAAATCGAAAAGAAATTCGTAAGTTGTATGCTGGATGATTGTTAATTCATGCATCCTCTTGAAGACATTGCTCCTGATACATGGCAGACAAGTATATCCTGTGTAAGTGTTTAACACTCTTTCTCAATTTACCTCTTGTATTTTGCAGAGTTCTATATTGTCACTGATTAAGGCAGAAGGGCGATACAACAGACTACAGATGCTGATAGCGGTATGTCACTGAATATTATACAATCGATCGTGGATCATGTACCATGTAAATAATCAGTTGAAGCAAATAGTTGTTTGTGATGTCCTAAACCCAGCCTGATGGTAGAAGTTGTTTGTGATGTCCTAAACCCAGCCTGATGGCAGAAGTTGTTTGTGATGTCCTAAACCCAGCCTGATGGTAGAAGTTGTTTGTGATGTCCTAAACCCAGCCTGATGGTAGAAGTTGTTTGTGATGTCCTAAACCCAGCCTGATGGTAGAAGTTGTTTGATGTCCTAAACCCAGCCTGATGGTAGAAGTTGTTTGTGATGTCCTAAACCCAGCCTGATGGTAGAAGTTGTTTGTGATGTCCTAAACCCAGCCTGATGGTAGAAGTTGTTTGTGATGTCCTAAACCCAGCCTGATGGTAGAAGTTGTTTGTGATGTCCTAAACCCAGCCTGATGGTAGAAGTTGTTTGTGATGTCCTAAACCCAGCCTGATGGTAGAAGTTGTTTGTGATGTCCTAAACCCAGCCTGATTGTAGAAGTTGTTTGTGATGTCCTAAACCCAGCCTGATTGTAGAAGTTGTTTGATGTCCTAAACCTAGCCTGATGGTAGAAGTTGTTTGTGATGTCCTAAACCCAGCCTGATGGTAGAAGTTGTTTGTGATGTCCTAAACCCAGCCTGATGGTAGAAGTTGTTTGTGATGTCCTAAACCCAGCCTGATGGTAGAAGTTGTTTGTGATGTCCTAAACCCAGCCTGATGGTAGAAGTTGTTTGTGATGTCCTAAACCCAGCCTGATGGTAGAAGTTGTTTGTGATGTCCTAAACCCAGCCTGATGGTAGAAGTTGTTTGTGATGTCCTAAACCCAGCCTGATGGTAGAAGTTGTTTGTGATGTCCTAAACCCAGCCTGATGGTAGAAGTTGTTTGTGATGTCCTAAACCCAGCCTGATGGTAGAAGTTGTTTGTGATGTCCTGCCTGATGTAGAAGTTGTTTGTGATGTCCTAAACCCAGCCTGATGGTAGAATGTTGTTTGTGATGTCCTAAACCCAGCCTGATGGTAGAAGTTGTTTGATGTCCTATGATCCTAAACCCAGCCTGAGCCTGATGGTAGAAGTTGCCTTTGTGAAGTGTGTCCTAAACCCAGCCTGATGGTAGAAGTTGTTTGTGATGTCCTAAACCCAGCCTGATGGTAGAAGTTGTTTGTGATGTCCTAACCCCAGCCTGATGGTAGAAGTTGTTTGTGATGTCCTAAACCCAGCCTGGCAAGTTGTTTGTGATGTCCTAAACCCAGCCTATGGTAATGTCCTAAACCCAGCCTGATGGTAGAAGTTGTTTGTGATGTCCTAAACCCAGCCTGATGGTAGAAGTTGTTTGTGAGAAGTTGTTTGTGATGTCCTAAACCCAGCCTGATGGTAGAAGTTGTTTGTGATGTCCTAAACCCAGCCTGATGGTAGAAGTTGTTTGTGATGTCCTAAACCCAGCCTAATGGCAGAAGTTGTTTGTGATGTCCTAAACCCAGCCTGATGGTAGAAGTTGTTTGTGATGTCCTAAACCCAGCCTGATGGTAGAAGTTGTTTGATGTCCTAAACCTAGCCTGATGTTGTTTGATGATGGTAGAAGTTGTTTGATGTCCTAATGGTACCCAGCCTGATGGTAGAAGTTGTTTGTGATGTCCTCCTGATAAACCCTAAACCCAGCCTGATGGTAGAAGTTGTTTGTGATGTCCTAAACCCAGCCTGATGGTACAAGTTGTTTGATGTCCTAAACCCAGCCTGATGGTAGCCTGGTAGTGGTTGTTTGTGATGTCCTAAACCCAGCCTGATGGTAGAAGTTGTTTGTGATGTCCTAAACCCAGCCTGATGGTAGAAGTTGTTTGTGATGATGTCCTAAACCCAGCCTGATGGTAGAAGTTGTTTGTGATGTCCTAAACCCAGCCTGATGGTAGAAGTTGTTTGTGATGTCCTAAACCCAGCCTGATGGTAGAAGTTGTTTGTGATGTCCTAAACCCAGCCTGATGGTAGAAGTTGTTTGTGATGTCCTAAACCCAGCCTGATGGTAGAAGTTGTTTGTGATGTCCTAAACCCAGCCTGATGGTAGAAGTTGTTTGATGTCCTAAACCCAGCCTAAATTGTTTGATGTCCAGCTTGATGGTAGTGGTTGTTTGATGTCCTAAACCCAGCCTGATGGTAGAAGTTGTTTGTGATGTCCTAAACCCAGCCTGATGGTAGAAGTTGTTTGATGTCCTAAGCCCACCTTGTTTGTGATGTCCTAAACCCAGCCTGACTGTAGAAGTTGTTTGTGATGTCGTAAACCCAGCCTGATGGTAGAAGTTGTTTGTGATGTCCTAAACCCAGCCTGATGGTAGAAGTTGTTTGATGTCCTAAACCCAGCCTGATGGTAGAAGTTGTTTGTGATGTCCTAAACCCAGCCTGATGGTAGAAGTTGTTTGTGATGTCCTAAACCCAGCCTGATGGTAGAAGTTGTTTGATGTCCTAAACCCAGCCTGATGGTAGAAGTTGTTTGATGTCCTAAACCCAGCCTGATGGTAGAAGTTGTTTGTGATGTCCTAAACCCAGCCTGATGGTAGAAGTTGTTTGATGTCCTAAACCCAGCCTGATGGTAGAAGTTGTTTGTGATGTCCTAAACCCAGCCTGATGGTAGTTGTTTGTGATGTCCTAAACCCAGCCTGATGGTAGTTGTTTGTGATGTCCTAAACCCAGCCTGATGGTAGAAGCCTGATGGTAGAAGTTGTTTGTGATGTCCTAAACCCAGCCTGATGGTAGAAGTTGTTTGTGATGTCCTAAACCCAGCCTGATGGTAGAAGTTGTTTGTGATGTCCTAAACCCAGCCTGATGGTAGAAGTTGTTTGATGTCCTAAACCCAGCCTGATGGTAGAAGTTGTTTGTGATGTCCTAAACCCAGCCTGATGGTAGAGGTTGTTTGTGATGTCCTAAACCCAGCCTGATGGTAGAAGTTGTTTGTGATATCCTAAACCCAGCCTGATGGTAGGAGTTGTTTGTGATGTCCTAAACCCAGCCTGATGGTAGAAGTTGTTTGTGATGTCCTAAACCCAGCCTGATGGTAGAAGTTGTTTGATGTCCTAAACCCAGCCTGATGGTAGAAGTTGTTTGATGTCCTAAACCCAGCCTGATGGTAGAAGTTGTTTGATGTCCTAAACCCAGCCTGATGGTAGAAGTTGTTTGTGATGTCCTAAACCCAGCCTGATGGTAGACAGTTGTTTGATGGTAGCCTGATGGTAAACCTAAACCCAGCCTGATGGTAGAAGTTGTTTGTGATGTCCTAAACCCAGCCTGATGGTAGAAGTTGTTTGATGTCCTAAACCCAGCCTGATGGTAGAAGTTGTTTGATGTCCTAAACCTAGCCTGATGGTAGAAGTTGTTTGTGATGTCCTAAACCCAGCCTGATGGTAGAAGTTGTTTGTGATGTCCTAAACCCAGCCTGATGGTAGAAGTTGTTTGTGATGTCCTAAACCCAGCCTGATGGTAGAAGTTGTTTGTGATGTCCTAAACCCAGCCTGATGGTAGAAGTTGTTTGTGATGTCCTAAACCCAGCCTGATGGTAGAAGTTGTTTGATGTCCTAAACCCAGCCTGATGGTAGAAGTTGTTTGATGTCCTAAACCCAGCCTGATGGTAGAAGTTGTTTGTGATGTCATAAACCCAGCCTGATGGTAGAAGTTGTTTGTGATGTCCTAAACCCAGCCTGATGGTAGAAGTTGTTTGATGTCCTAAACCTAGCCTGATGGTAAAAGTTGTTTGTGATATCCTAAACCCAGCCTGATGGTAGAAGTTGTTTGTGATGTCCTAAACCCAGCCTGATGGTATGTCCTAAACCCAGCCTGATGGTAGAAGTTGTTTTTGTTGTCCTAAACCCAGCCTGATGGTAGGAGTTGTTTGTGATATCCTAAACCCAGCCTGATGGTAGGAGTTGTTTGTGATGTCATAAACCCAGCCTGATGGCAGAAGTTGTTTGATGTCCTAAACCCAGCCTGATGGTAGAAGTCGGGATTTCTCGCCTGTATTTCATTCCATAGAGCCGGTAATTTTCATGGGTTAAAAGTTTCGCGTTTTTTTTAAACTCACGAATTAGAATTTATCGATGTGTATGTAAAACGACATGTAGGACACACTTATCTTATTATTTTACGGATTTCGCTGTCACGTGAATATACCGTGAAATTGTGGAAATATTAAACCCGCGAAAAGCAGCGAAGTATCCAATATATTATTGTGCCTGTTTTTGAGAGACTTGAATTAATGCACTACAACTTCCACATTTGAATCGGATTCGTAAACAGGATTTTAAAAAGAGCGTGTATTCAGGAGAGAATGTATGGCGGGTTATCTCTGGAACTTCTTATCATGCCTACAGACATATCTGTCTGTAAACACGATATAAAACTAATGAGAAAAAATAAATATGACATTTAAAATTTCAGCAGGTGATTTTTTTCGATTCCTGATTACACAATTGAGGTCGTCGTTTCATATAACTGTATAAGTTACCAAATACATTTGAAGAGAATTTGGACAAGTGTTCCCGCTTCTGGTCATACTGTTTTCACGGCTATTAGACAATATCACATTTCTTTTGTAAACGACAGATAAGGATACGTTTTTACAAATCTAATGAAAATATTTCAGTGGGAATCAAATTATACATCTTTCAAATGGTACTTAAAGTTCGCTTGAATTGGTGTAATAGTAAACATTAAATGCACCGAAATAACACATTTCAATACAAAAAGTTAGATACAGAACAAGCTAAGGAAGCAAACAGTGTCATACATCTGTTTCGTCTATTTAAGATTTGTCAACGATGGTGAGGATTTTAGTGTAAAACTATGGAGGTGGCTGTGAAAAATCGGATTTGTGGAAAGAAATGTTAAAACCTAATCGGGTAGTGTCGTTTGTTAAAGGGAACATAACAGACCTTAAGGACGTTTGTTGTATTCAACTGCGACGAAGATTTTCCTACATAATCGGGAGTTTCCTCCGCGTTTTCTACCAAGCACTATTCGCGGGATCTTTGGTTTTGTTATTTTTACGGTTATCAAAGAAAGCTCGAGATTAATTATCCAGAAAATAATTGTACTTTGCGTAAAACTCTAGAAATATGTATGTTATTGTCTGTGTATCGGTAAAAATGTATAGACTTGCTCGAAATATAATACCCGTGAACTTACCTGACCCGGGACATCCATGGAATTAAAACAACTACATCTGTACACCGTGATCAAATCGAGTCACATTGCGAAGCATTTATCAATTATTACGTCAACTTTCTTTCGTGTTCAGGCAGCAGGCATGGAGTCGGAGTTTGAAGCCAGAAACATCACTGTTGTCGTTTGCTCAAATAACGCGTGGGACATACTACCTGTCGGCACGTTGGATTACTTTATGTCAGATCAGGTAATGCTATACTGTTAGTCTTTTCTCTTAAATCGAATTGTTTCACTTTCAAGATGTTACAAATTTTGGTATGGTTGTCAACTGTATTGTTCCGTCATATGATAGTGAGTTCATGTGCAATTTGTTTTAGCGTGCATGTTCATGTGACTAGCGGACTGATTCCTAGCGAAACTTTGCTTGCACTAACGTAACTTATTACAGTAGTTACTTTGTTAATTAGAATCTTAAATGCCACAGCATTATTGATATACAAGCAAACTTCGATGTTTCGATGTCCAAGGGACAACCAAAAAAACTTCGATACATCGAGACTTCGAATCATGCGTGGTTGGTTATATCGACGTTTTCATGTTCATGGCTATATACAGTTGATGGCACGACATTTCTACTCGAACAAGCACAACAAATACCAAAACACAAGTTTAAATGGAAAAGTGCATTTTATCTTTAAACAAAACATTTTCATTCAAGAAAATACATAGCTTTGAAATAAAAAAAAAAACGGGAAGTCGATCTTTCATGTCACAAGGTAAATGCATTTTACGAGCCGATTTTAAATGAAACGACGCACAACATTGAAGTGCTTTTCATGTGTAACAGTTTTTGACAAACCATGTCATGATATGCGATATGTCAAACCAGGAGATATCATTCGTCGTCAAGACACTTATTGTATAGATAATGTCAACATAGATGATATCATAAATGATGTAAAAACGGAGGATTTGGCATTGTTTATATCCAACCATAAAATGTTATAATTTCAGAGTCGTAAATTGCCTGTTCATAACACGACTTTAAATAAAAAAAAATCTTGTAAATTGTATCTTTCAAAAAACTTTATGTTGGACTAGGCTATGTCACGACATCTTAGCAGAATTAAATTCCAAAATTTAACTGTACATATGTATAAACAAGAGCAAAATATGAGCGAAAGAAATCCATGTATTATCGCGAATATCCTTGCATGTTCCGGTAGAGCACCTGTCTTCTTTCTTCATCGACAACAGTCGTCATGTTAATCGTAGTGAATGCCCTATTTTCAAATGAGAACCAGGTAACGAACAACTAGACTGCTAGGAATATTAGTCACCACCGTATGTATCCATCTTTATATACAAAGACATTTAATGTTTTGAGATGAGATCATGATATTCACCCCCTTTTATTATGACCAGAGAATGAAGGCATTTCTTCAGCTATAACATATTGTAAGTTAACCTATGTTTTTACTCAGACAAAGTAATGCCTTATTTTGTCAGACTTTGGCAGATACCCGACGAGGTAACAAGGTCGTTTCATCAATGTTATGTCATTATTTTCTTTATTAAATGTAGGGGAGGGGACGGGGGTGGGAGGAGTGGAATTCATGGCTTATTGACAAATATAGTCGTTCAACAATGACAGGAAATCCGAAGGAGGATTTGTTTGTTGTCTCATATGTTGTTTTCTTGTGATACTAGAACATATTCTATTATATGTTTACAACTAGGGAAAAGACAAGTTACGGGTCGTCTTACGGGATCACATATTCGAGGGTGTGGTAAGTTTTAAATCAAGCAACTATCTACATCAAACTTTTTTTTTCTATAATGGTTGATTAACTCCGATATAGCTCAGCTTGGATCAAAACTGGCGGTCACACTAGAAGTGTATTTATTTGAAAATGTTTACTTTGTATCAGAAGTAGCAATTAAAGTGATATATAGTTTCCTTGTTATAAAATCTTTACACTCTCAAAGAAATAACTCTTATTTGTTACACAGCATTTTTGACACGGCATCAAAACGTTGATAAAATATTGGCATATATTTAGTTTTTGTACTTTTATTTTTTTCATGGTACCATACTGCCTAACTACCGTTTGTAATTTACATTTATACAGATAGAGGTTGCTGACCTGATTAATAGACGACATATCCGGTCTAAAGCTAACTCTTTTTTCCCGGTACAAGTGACTCCCGCGGTAAGTCAGAACTCATATCCTGGTACAAGTGACTCCCGCGGTAAGTCAGAACTCATATCCTGGTACAAGTGACTCCCGCGGTAAGTCAGAACTCGTGTCCCTGTACAAGTGACTCCCGCGGTAAGTCAGAACTCATATCCTGGTACAAGTGACTCCCATGGTAAGTCCGAACTCATGTCCCGGTACAAGTGACTCCCGCGGTAAGTCAGAACTCATATCCTGGTACAAGTGACTCCCGCGGTAAGTCAGAACTCATATCCTGGTACAAGTGACTCCCGCGGTAAGTCAGAACTCATATCCTGGTACAAGTGACTCCCGCGGTAAGTCAGAACTCGTGTCCCTGTACAAGTGACTCCCGCGGTAAGTCAGAACTCGTGTCCCTGTACAAGTGACTCCCGCGGTAAGTCAGAACTCATATCCTGGTACAAGTGACTCCCATGGTAAGTCCGAACTCGTGTCCCGGTACAAGTGACTCCCGCGGTAAGTCAGAACTCATATCCTGGTACAAGTGACTCCCGCGGTAAGTCCGAACTCGTGTCCCTGTACAAGTGACTCCCGCGGTAAGTCAGAACTCATATCCTGGTACAAGTGACTCCCATGGTAAGTCCGAACTCGTGTCCCTGTACAAGTGACTCCCGCGGTAAGTCAGAACTCATGTCCCTGTACAAGTGATTCCCGCGGTAAGTCAGAACTCGTGTCCCTGTACAAGTGACTCCCGCGGTAAGTCAGAACTCATATCCTGGTACAAGTGACTCCCGCGGTAAGTCAGAACTCATGTCCCGGTACAAGTGACTCCCGCGGTAAGTCCGAACTCGTGTCCCTGTACAAGTGACTCCTGTGCAAGTGACTCCCGCGGTAAGTCAGAACTCGTGTCCCTGTACAAGTGACTCCCGCGGTAAGTCAGAACTCGTGTCCCTGTACAAGTGACTCCCGCGGTAAGTCAGAACTCATATCCTGGTACAAGTGACTCCCGAGGCTAGTCAGGGCTCATGTTCCAGCACTTGATATATATATATAGAAAACCGTAGTTCTATGAATCTGAGAGGATTTGTTCACGATACAGTGTGCTGTGATATGAAATGGCCGCATCGCGTCTAATATTTATGTCATTTGAAGTGACTGCTTCTATTTGTATGAAATGACAGTTTAGTCTATTAATCTCTATGAGAGCTCTTATATCTTATACAGATTGTATAATATCCTTATTTGTTTATATATCTATGTGGTAATTGTCTTATCTATATTTGTTTTGAAGGGAGCCGTGATGCTGGCAAAAAATATCAGAGTTGTACAAGCAGACATACCTGCAAGGAATGGCCTATATCATCACTTAGACCAACTTCCTTTGCCAACGGATATTTATAATTATCTACCTTTTGAATGCAGTGAAAACCTCACCGAGGAAGTAATTGTAAATATACTTGACGTTAATTAATCAATATCACCTTACATAAAGTAGCTGTTTTGGTAATTTACTGTTGATTAACCTCTTGAACTGTATTGTGTTGCTATCATGAACGTGCGTATTTACAGTGGTAAGTTAGCGCTTTCACTTGAGGTATTATGTCTATTATTGGTGATGTCTGAGTGTTCTGCGCGTGCTTACTTTCGGGTACGTGTTTAAAATCGGTGGTGTGTTATAATCATAAAAGATAATAATAACAATAGAAGCTTTTTTCGGTTACACATTGAGTCAATGACTCTTCTCACATGTGATCAAATATACAATAGTTACAGAGTGTTGGTTGTTCAACTTACTCTACATGATCGTTATTCATCATCGGCTAGGCATATACTATAGGTAGAATGCTGTTTGTTAGACACGTTTGCGACACAGGTTTGTGTTTATTGCAGGATGTGTGTTTAAAATATCCATAATGTGTCTTCAGTTTGTATTGTGTATAGGAGATATATACATGTATATATATATATTACAGGGTCCGTGCGATAGCTGCGACAATTTTAATGACAGTTGTCCCAACACCGACCAACCCGTGAGTGATTTACACAAATTACGTTATACTGAACATTTTGAATGTCTTATAGATGTTGGGTTGTTTGTAATGCCTGCCCTATAATGGACCATGTACAAAATAAAGAAACGTAATTAGTCCTCCAAATGGTTGGATTTGTCGCATCACATCAATCATTTAAAAATATCTTTTATCGATTACATAATGTGAATTATTAGTACCAAGCATCTCTATAGCTTCAACTAATCGAATTGTTTACATACCATATATCGGGTATTTTTTTTGTGAATTTAGCGAATCTTTCAAAATCGCAAATAAATGAAATCGAAAAATTTGCATGTTTTCTTCTCTTTTTTAATTGTAAACTGAGTAATCCATCTGTAGAGTTTGCGTAACTGCATGCACCTGGACATTTTCAAGTCGTGAATATTTCTATGATAAATAATTGGTCAGCAGATGTTCAGTTATGTTAAAATATACATTGGGTGTTTATGTAAGTTATGTCCAATTTTTTTGTTAGGTGTGGTAGACGTGTCACTAACATCAAGCGTAGGCTATCATTTAAAAACAAAAAACAAAACAAAAAAACCGAGTTTTATATTGACTTACGATCACAGTTGGAACACAACAATGGCCATGGACGAGTCATGAGTTTTAAAAGAATTGCGAGAGAGCCAAGATAAATACAATCAGCCTATTATATATTTTATCTTGCTTCGTCTTGCTATTAACAAAGACTTACAATGGCTACATGTCGAATTAAGACACAGATCAAGATGATTTTTTTAATCTTTCCTTCCCAAAAGACACTATGTTGTGATTTTGGTATCATGAAGTGTTATTCGCCATGTAAAAGTATCAATTCCCGATAAAACTATACAAATGTGCTCATCTCTTGTTTTGTTAATATCAACAATATGATTTACGGTGCAGGCTAGGGTGCAGAGCTGCCAATTCTTTGATCTTGTGTTGCTACGGAACATTGACGGTTGTGCTAAAGTGTGCAACAGGACAACTGTGGTAAGTATGTAACACATACCTTGTTTAGTTTACAAACACAACAACTTCATACGCCTTATAGTTAGATGTTATAGGTAAACGCCACATATAATTCTACCCCTTTACTTTACAGAAGAAGCAATGTTGTAAGGGTTTCCATGGCGACGATTGTCATCCTTGTCCAGGGGGCTTTTTTAACCCGTGTAATGGTAATGGAAAGGTAAAGTATTAACGATTGACATCATCATCATAAACTATCGCGATTATTTTTTTTTGTTTTGTTATAAAATACATACTACTTAGTACTTAGTCTTTAAAAATGCGTCAGAATGACGTCAATCTGTAAGGTTTTAATTCTTTTAGTACTCTTTCTCTTCGTACCAACAAATGAAAAAACCTCCGACAGCACTATTTACCAGTTAGATGAATAGGTAGATATCGAGCGGTGAAGAACTTAAACAATCGTGTTGTTTTTTTTAACTTGGTGTTGGCGACTTACCAGATTAATGCTATTTAATCTACAGTTGTGAAAACGCACAACGCACCAAAACAACTTTTATTATATACTGTATGGATCTTTCTCAAGTTTCATGTGTAGGTTTCCGATGTAGGTTTCTCTTTAGCGCTTGTTGTGACTGTCTGATTTTCAGACTCATCAGAAAAATAAAATGGCCGACAAGAGGCCATCTTGTATTTTGACTTTGAGAGTTTGTTATCGCTATTTCTTCAGAACTACCGCATACTTTATATGTATTTTTTCAAATTTCATGTGGAGTTTCCCCATGATCCCTTGTTCTGGCCATTTGATTTTGTGACTGATCAAAACAACTAATGGCGGACAGGTGGTCGTCTTGGATTTCGTTTAGTTAAGTTTGTTATCGCTTTTTCTTAAGAAGCACGGAAGGGATCTCTCTAAAATTTCATGTCTTTATTTACCTTGGTCCCTAGGACCGATCACAAAAAAACAAAATGGCCAGTTGACCATTTTGGATTTGGCATTTAAAGATTATTATCGCTACTTTTGCAAAAGATCTCTTGTTTTTATTTATCTTTGACAAACAAAATACATTCATTATTGTCAAGCCATAAAATGATTAAGTTATCAATTGAAAAATGCATACTTTGAAATAGACTTAGGTTCATTTCTATATACTTGAAAAAGTATCTAGGTTTTTATGGTTGGCAGTATATATATCCATGACATAGGAACGGTTTATTTTTATATAGTGTACAGAGTCGGGCACATGTACGTGCTTCAGTGGATTCACAGGTAAAGCATGCCAACAGTGTGAAATTGAAGACAAATTTGGAGAAAACTGTACACAAAGTAAGTGATCATTGTCAACTATTGGATATTCCGTACGTAACGATATACATATCCATTAATAATGACTTCATTTCAGCCATACATTTTGTTGTTTAAGTCCAATTGTAATAGCAGATTTCATTCAGGACATTTATTGTAGTCAGATTAAAAATGTTCCATTTGTATTGTACACGATTATGCCCGTATCTTGACAATATATCGGACGGTTGTTTTTATCCAGTTTCCAAAATTTATTCATTATTTGATATTTTTTCTTTGGAAAGACAAGAACGTTTTACCTGTACATGGATGCAAGTTTATGCAATAACTAAAACAAAATAAATGTGTATCCATTTTGCTGCCAGAAAGTTGTTTACGCTGCGATGTACCGATTACCTTACAGAGTGTACATGCATTCGTGGTCGTTGTGATAATGGGATTAAAGGGACTGGCCAGTGCAAAAGAGGAACCTGTGCTCCAAACGTTCGAGGGAAGAATTGCGACAAAACCGTGAAAAAATGTCCCAGGGGATTATCTAAATTATGTCACGTGTACGCCTTTTGTCCCGCTGGAACAGTTGTTTCCCAAATGCGCAGTAGGTAAGATACTAGCTGTAGTAGTTGAGGCTGTTGATTTGGCTGGATCCTGGTATTTTTGGAGTGACCAAAATTTGTATGGCGAGAGTTGTTGCTGAAGTAGACGCATACCCTTTTAGGACCACTTGGTTTGATTCTCCTTGTATTTTCCTCGGGGCCTCATTTACATAGTTTGCCATGTTTCCATCTAATTAGGGTGTGAATTGAACCTCTTATGAAATGTTGATATTTATTTTTTTGTTTATGTATTTTCACACACAGGCTTCCATATATGTTGTATGACCAGAAACAAACTCCAAAACTGTATTTGTTCCGTTGTGTTTAATCTGGGTGTTGATTTCTTCACGATAGCCTTGTCCATTGTGATCTCTTGTGATTCATCAGCATGAGATCCCAAATTGTTTATTTTGAATATTTGGCGGGTAAATAAGGACTGATGTTAGAAAGCTAAATGCAAAATATTTTATTTTATTAATCACTTTATTTTTGTTTATTTTGATATCAGATCAATCTGATATAGTACTGGTAAATTTGGCATTGATGTTTCTTACAAATGGATTAATGTAATGGGTTAACAAAAAATAATAGCAATATATCTTGATGTATATTTGCCGCATATTTATTTCTTGCTGAATGAAAATATTTCAAAATTAAAAAAAAAAAAGTCGTAGGTGTACTTTAGGATGGTCTTGTTAGATGTCAATTGTCAATTAATGATAAATGTTCGGACCTCCCATGTTTATACTGGATTTCTAAACTTCACAAGAGTTTATCTAAAAACAGTTTTATAGCTGGATCTTCTAGTGACTTAACCAAGATGGTAAACAGGTAATAAACTAAAAATACCAGATTAACAGGCAGGAGATTCAAAATTAATGAATATTATAAACACTATATCAGAGCGAAAACATTATAAGTCCTATACAAATAAATCTGCAGTTACAGATCATTCAACACAGCAAATAATATCATGGGCTAGGAAAATTGAACTATAATCTGTTTACCGTCTCCTCACACTATTTTCGACCTTGGAGTACAACAGAAGAAAGTTGGTCCATTCTTTACCATCTCTTACACTAGGTACGTCAGTGCTAGTAAACTCCACACTGGCCATTTGTCTGATGAATGTGATCTTGTAGTCATGGGAATGCCACAGACTTATCTTCTACTTGTTGCGTTATAAGAACTTCTATTCTCTTGACATTACCAACCTGAAGAAAATGTTCCAAAATGATCGAATTTCTGGTGGAATTTATCAGTCTTTGTCGAGTTCAGTGATAAAATCTTTCAACAGGCTATTGGAATGCCTATAAGAACAATCTGTGTTCCTCTTTTTGTGTCGCCTGCCAAAGGTATTACTATGTCGGCGTCGTCGTCCGCACAAATGTTTTTTCGCGAGAACTTGAGTTCAATTTTGCCGACCAACCTCAACCCTTAGACAGTGCTTTCTTGTCAAATGTGCTTACTTGAGAGTGCTTTTCAGATCCGAAGATCAAAAGTCAAGGTCACTGTTTCTGTTAATAGAAAAAAAGGTTTTTTCCCTTAATAACTTCAGCTCTCTTTAGCCAATCAACCTCAAACTTCATACAGTGCTTTCTGACCAATAGTATTTGCTTGCGATTGCTTTTCAGGTCCGAATGTCAAAGGTCAAGGTCGCTGTTACGATAGATAGAAAAGTGTTATTTTCTCCGCGATAATCTGAGTACACTTTGGCCGATCTACCTCAAAGTTGATACAGTGTTTCCTGATCAAAAGTGCTTCCGTGGGATTGCTTTTGAGGTTTGAAGGTCGAAGACAGTGTTATAATATATAGGAGATTATTTTTCATGCGATAACTTGAGTTTTCTTAGACAAAAACGAGCAAAAGGAAAGAGCGTGCTTGTAAGCACGTGTCTCTGAAAAGTATGTGTTCTTTTTACAGGTTCTGGTGCACGCGTATTGGTGATTGTTGTCAGAGACACATATATATGGTTTTGTTTATTATATTCCAATATGGATGGTGTTGTTTACATGAATAAGTGGTTTTGCTTAAAGATGTTTCTGCATGGGTGATTTTGTTAACATGAATGAGTGGTTTTGGTTAAATATTTATCTGTATGGGTGGTTATGTTTACTCTTGTACCAGTATAGATGGTATTTTCTACAAATTTACCTATATGTTTATGTTTGTTTAGATGCTATTCTTTATGGATAGTTTTTTTATGTATATGTATCTGTGAAACGGTTTATTTACAAATGTACCTGTATGGCTGGCTGTGTTTATAAACCTGTGTGGGTGGTTTTGTTTATAGTTGTACTTGTATGCGTGGATTTGAGGGTGATGGCCACACGACATGCAATCCTATTGATCCATGTAAACAACCCAATAGAGGAGACTGTGATCCACAGGTAATATATCGAAGATATATGAATATTGTAGTAGTTTTACATACATAACTGTAAGTCAAGACTTTATCAGTTCATTTTGTATGTAGACTTGCGATATATATTTTCGTCGTCATTCTCCTATCTTAGGTATCGATGTATTTGACAATTTAGTTTTTGTACACCTTTTTATATATAGATATGATAGATAGGTAACTTATGATGACTCGACTGATAATAGGGATTCATTCACTATATGATACTCATTAACATATTATAGGCACGTTATGAGGTGAAATTTCGATGTAGCTGTATGCTATGAATTATCATACATGGTACAGTAAATGATTGTTCGTCTTTGTTTGCTTTTGTCCTGTAGGCCATCTGTAAGTATTTGATGCCTGGGTTTAGCAGCTGCCGATGTCATGAAGGATGGGTTGGGACGGGCAAGTACTGTTATCGCGGAACAGCATGTGATACACACCGCGACTGCCATGAAAATGCAGTGTGCAGGCTAAAGGTGCCTGATATGAAGGTATATTGTCACAGCAACAGGGAAATATTTCTTTTTTGAAAAGGTTCTAGATTATTTGTTTCTAAATAAGACAACACTGTAATGTATTTTACATGCTTAGTAATGAAATTCAAATATAACATGGAGTGACAGCAATCAAGTTAGCGTCTGAGGTTCTGAAATGGGGGTGAGATGCCCAGCGACTCCATGTATGTTTGTTTGGAAACATGGAACATGGAAATCTTCATCCACTCACAAGGCTAGTTAAACATAAATCACTAATATAAACTAACACAGCATCATTAAAAGGACGAAACACCACATTCTCAAATGAAAAAGGGTCTACGAAAACCCATAATTTTATGTTTGTTCACGTTATCATCAAATCTGGTATTGAAGCGACGTTAACGAAGATTTGTTTTCTTTAATTCTCAGACGTTATGTACTTGCAAATTGAATTTTCATGGCAATGGAACACATTGTATACCTAACAATATGTGCAGATGGAACATGGGCGGATGTGATCCAAAGGTACGTTAATGTTACTGAGAAACAAGTTGTATGATGCTCAATATGTCATAAGTACATTAAGGCTAACGACCATGTTATTGCAATTTTTATATTTTGAGATACATGTCCTTTTTAAGGTTCTATTTTTATATAAAACACATTCTCGATGATTCATGCCTTGTGTACAAATCTTGTTAAGTTTGTAGTATTGCGACAGGCAATGCTTTAAGCTGCTAATTATCAATGTGATACTAATAAAGTGATCAGACACCATTTGTTTTTGTCAGGCTGATTGTACCCCACTTGGGCCTGGTACTAACAATTGTACATGCTGGGATGGCTATCGAGGCGATGGGTACAGCTGCTCACCTACTATTCTAAAGTTTATAGAAGATACTCCTGAACTGAGTAAACTAGCAGAACTTTTACAGGTGATCTTTAGCAAATTTTATCACACAGGTGTGAAAGTAACCTTTAGTGAAGAAATAATTGTAACATGCTGATTTCCCATTGATGCATGGCACCGACTATAATGCTTTCACGTAATTTAATCAACCTCCATTTCTCAAAACGCTGTATTTCAAATTGTCTACCACATGTCGACATCTTTCATGGACATCGTTATATTGAGAACGACCTCTTAAATATAGCCTTAACTGTGGATATAGGTTGAGGGAGTTGTAGCTATCCAGGAAAAAAAGAATAAAAAAAAAAAACTGCAAATGAAATCAACATGCTTATCATATACCTTGATGTAACAGATCCCTGTAAGAGGCAGCTGTAGGGAAGACTGTTGTGTTCTTTCCCAATTCTGATGGGTATAAGCAATAATCATAGCCAATAGTTATTGTAATTCAGAAAAAAATGATATAATTGATTATTTAATATATATTGTGCAAAATCTTCATATTTCTATTTCGTATGAAAACGAAAATGAAATAAGGGTCGAAGCTTGATCATCTGAGATCATCGTATTATCACATTACTTCGTGTAACTTTAATGTAATGTTACCATTGTAATAGTGCTTCAAATTGCGGTATGTTATGTTGCTATGGAATAAGGAGTCATATAACTCTGTGTGATGTTACTTTATAGTTATCTTTGTATTATAATAACAGCAAAACGTCCTCTTTCATTCTTTAATTATGTTGACAGGATATGCCAAGGGACGAAAACATCCTACTGTCATCCACAGATCAGTACACTATTTTCGCGCCATCCAACACAGCCATGGCCATCCTGCTTTCCAGATTACCTCCCCATTACCTAGAGGATCCTGACAGTCTGCTTTCTTTTCTTTTGTATGTTTGACCCACTCACTAAGTAACCCAGTGACATGGCAGAGAATTTATAAATGAAGATATAACTACATTTTAATGCAATCTGGTTTATAACACATTTAACTTTTCAAGTTCATTTAATGTAATTTTGTTAAAAAGATGGGGTTTCCGGCAGTGTTATTTCCCCTAGAGTTGGGCCTTAAGATTTGTTCACTCATCGAGACCACTGACTGAGACATTGCTTTGTGCCATCAAAGTTGGTTCCATTGGTTTTGCTGTTGATCTAAATAAATCGATGACGCAAATGCCTATTTAACTAATTACGTAACAAAATTGTTAAAGTATGAAAGCGATTGCCACAAAACATAAAAATTGATAAACAGAACAGTAAGTATACCGCCAATATTATTGGTTTTCAAGCATTGTGTGTTTTTTTTGTGAACAAATGACATTTTGAATGTCTTCCATATTCAGTTCATTCAAAATTATTTAGCATTTAGATAGCTTCATCTCTTACCATAACCCTGCCCAAAGATCGACATTTCACTATTTGTGCTAAGTGTTGGGTTTTGGCTTTGACGTGTATCACCCCATTGGCTTTTTGAATGATAGTGGACATATGATACCACATGATTATATATGGCAATAACGTTACTGATGATATTTGGTATTTGTACTAAGTGTTTTAAGAATCATCAGAAAACGAAAGCCACACATTCAAAGTGTTGATAATGATACGTTGCGAAACATCCCACTATGATCCAGAGAGGATTTGCTTTATGGTCAGTCGTCCCATACAAAATGCATACTATGTATGAAGAGTTTCAATCAACACTCGACCATATTGCTCGAGCGCGCAAAACACCAACTCATCTTTCATCACATGTCCTAAAGTCCTGATGGATTTTTTCACATAATCTCATATTGAAAGGATCTTCTATATTCTCATGTTTCCAACTTTACTTTCATTTGTTCATTTCCTTTTAGGTCAAATATGTTGGCAGGATTGAAGAACACACAGGAACTTCTTGAAACAGTGGATGGATATGACAAGTTTGAAACACTTACAGATGGGTTTTTCTTACACATTCACAACGTAAACGATGTAAGTAAATACTTTATCATCGGATCCAAACTCTCGTAGAACCTTTCATCCATGTTTCATATTTCTCCCTTTGTTCTTACTAAGTACCTACATTAATATCTTCATTTCCTCCACCATTTTCTTCGTATCTGATATTTATTATTGTTTAATATGCATACAGTTGCAATTAAAATGCGTGGAACATAGGCATACCTATGGGAACCAACTGCATCCCTCTGTTGGCTGACTTTTTTGGTGCTCGTTTGTTTGCCTGTTTGTTCAGTTGTTGTATACAGTGTTCTCACTTGACACTTGATAATACAAGATGTTTACACTTCCGGAACTCCTAGTATAATTCTCCTTGTTCTTTTTCATGAGTCTCCGTCTATGGTGTTAGAAGTCTAAAATGTAAAAATCTAGAAATTTGGAAAATTAAAATCGGCGAGTAATATTTTAAATACATGGGGGATGTGAACGTTTACCCAAAATCAGATTTATTTCCTGAATTTTCGGTTTAAATAATTAATATTACAAAGTTGGACAATTTATATATTTTTGTCGTGCCTGCACAATATCTAAAGGTATACAAACGTGGCATGCAGGTTAAGAGAATTACACTAGATATTGTTACCCATTTTGTGGAAGGTAGCCTATACTGAATGGTAACACTTTATTTGTTGTATCCTTTTATTTGTCGTCTATATCCCACGAGCTCATACAAGATTTTGAATATCTAGCACCATTTGCATTACGTGTTTTCCTTTTTTTTTATGTCGCCCCAATTAATTTCTTTCATATTATAAAGTGTTTAATCTGCTAACGCCCATTTACACAAAATAAGTATTTGTATTAATTGTAATTCTACAGCAATGTATTTATAAACGACGTCATTTTTAATGATACAAACAGTACATTAGAATTAAGAAATCTAAAAAATGTAGCAACATTGTTATGATGGAAAAGTAAGACAGTAAGGCGAGTTTTGGCATTTACCTGATTTTTTATCACATGTAACATAGATAAAATAGCAAACGATACCCAGTGTCAGCATACAGGTCAAATTACTATTCGCGACTGGATATCAAAGGTATAAATTCTAACCATCAAATCATGGAAACACTTAAGGACACACAATTCTATCCATTACGGGTATACGATTGCTGAAATGAGCTGGTTTTCTCATAATTTAAAAGATAATTTCAGATGAAGGCAAAATATGTTTGATTCTCGGAAAGGAACACTATTATAAAAATAATATGCATATTCTAACATTAAAATAAGTCCTGAATGGCCACAATGGCGTTTTGTGATGCAGTTTAATTCGCTATTTGACATTTATGTATCTAACTCTTCATTTGTATTTAAAATGTGTTATTCACTTGATTGCAGATGATTAGCTTTGCTGATTAACTTAAAGTCCCGGAGGTTTGCCGTAGCATGCATGTTAAGTTTTAATTAACTCAAATGATGGCACGGTTCAAGAAATACACATGCACTTTACGTTGTTTTGAAAGCATTCAGTAGGGCGCATCAGCTGTCAATCTTTTGCACAATCGGACGAAATTCCGGAACAAGAAAAAACGTTTGGAAATTGGAACACATACATTGTTTAGTTCAGTATATATATATTTTCTAATCATCAAGCGATTAGGAAGATGTCTCACTTGTTAAAGCATTATCTGTACAGTTTATCATGCATTTGTGATAGATGTGTTATTTGTGCAAACATCTGGTAGAATTTGATATTGTGCCATTGGCATTTATAGATTGATGAAGAAAAATTTTCAGACAGGTATTCCTTTTAATGTAGACGTCGTTTGAATTATAATGATTTCCCTTATTATTTAAATACAGAAGATACATCGGTTGTTCTTATAGCCTAAAACTAAAATTTGGTTATTTTAATAAGGGACATGGACTATGGGAGCTTATGTAAAAGCATGACGAAAATACTATCCTGGCAACATAGTCATAGCTCAAGTTCCATAAAACTAGGCAAAATATGAACATAAAATTATTTACATGGAGACTCATGAAAAAAGAGACCAGCTGTAAGTGTCTTCTGCTTCGTTTTTACCAAGCAAAGTAAAGGTAGACTTTTAATCCTTATTGCCAATAACGGTCTAGCTTTACTTTCATTTCAAATCGCGAATGATTCTATTGTATTTGTAATGATTTTACAAGTGTAAAACCAACAGGAAAATACTAACATGTAAACAGAATCACAATCCAAACACAGATCCAATAAAAGTACGGCAAACTAATAACAAAAGAAAGACCCCTATAATCCTGAAATTAAATCTCTATGACGACTGTAAATGTTCGACATAATTTTCATCAATCTGCATTTTTAAAACGCTATGCTATGTGCGTTTTTCTGTCATAGACGACACCTTGCAGGAGAAAATCGTGATATTGCTGACAGGCCCTTGAATATCGAATCAACTGCAACCTTTAAACGCTCTATGTTGGGGATTTATGGATTGCTGCTATCCCAAAATGAAAAATGCACAGTAGGGAGGTTGAAACCATTAAACAGCTTTCCATTTCTTATCAGTACATAACACGTATCTAGCATTATCATCATCAGCTTATCATCATTATTTTTTCAACCATGAATAAGCATCTAGTCATGCTACATCCTTCATGTTAAATATTTTTGTTTCAGTCTCTTTTCCTGTCTGGAAAAAGAACATCTAAACAATGGTCCAGGATAGTAGAGTCCCATGAGACAGCGAACGGTTATGTGCACATTATAGACAGGGTATGCAGTTTCTATACATCATATAAAGTAAGATGACTGTAGAAACAAACCGAATCCGTATTACAAACCATTGTGATGAAAGCAAAGTAAGATAAATAAGATAATGTACATCGACTTTGCTTCATGGACCATATATGGTATTAAATCTACTTCCTAATTACAGACAGTTTATACACATGCTACAGTAAGCAAACAAATTGAAAATTACCGACTGTATGTAGTGACAGGCAATACTGCAATACAAACGGTTGATAATGACAATACCCCTCCTTCATATCGTACGGTACAAGTTTGTAAGAAAATGCCAAATTACACACAGTATATAATTACTAAGCTCTCCTATGCTAAATACAGTATTTGTGACATAATTGCTTTATACCATCAATGTATTTTGTGAGAGCTGTGTTGTATACGATATTTATTATCTTTTAAAGTTATTACAGTAAGCAGGCGTTGCTTGCCTTTGATCACACTCAATTATCATAGAAAAAATATATTCCTGCTGAATAAATATTATGCATCCAAATTCAAAAGGCCATTGAGACGCCCTTCTATGCTGAGGAATCCCCTGATGTGAGAACGTTCTTTTCACAACATCCAAAGTATTCACGTTTTGGAAGTTTATTGGAGGTATAGTAAACTTTTTAAAAATCTTTCTATTTTTAGCTCTACTATCAAGCCCTAAATTTGTATTAAGAAATGTTCAAATTACTTGTGTGTCTGTGTTGATAATAGAAAGAAAGTGATTATTTATCTATAATGTTCTCAACTCTCTTTGTACATACTACTTTTATCATCAAGTCAGTCATCGTAAAAATGATTGTCTTCTTTTTTATTTAAAATATCTACTGCTGAACAAACCACAGCCAAAGTTTCCAAATATTCTAATACTGAATATCTATACCTTTTTTTCTGATTGCATGTTTGGCACATTGATAATTTGTTTGTTAAAATTCGTAAAAATTCAGCTTCAAATTGTGTGCTTAACATTTGTCTGTAAGTGAATAATGGTGGGTAAATTACTCCAATTTTAATGACATAGCCTGTCTCAAACAAACGAAAACAAAAATCAATCAACCATATCTTATCAGATTAATAGGACAGTGTGTTTCTTCTAAAAGCATAACAAAGCTTTTGATATTGGTTATATATTGTTCATGGATTATCAAAGCAGATGGTATATAGTTGTATTTATTTGTTACAGAGCAAATCATTATATGATGAACTACTGGAAATGAATGCTTATACGCTGTTTGTGCCTAACAATGACGTAATAAGCAAGTACTACAATGAGAAAGTCGTGGTAAATATTTACTTCCATAACGCCAGTGTTATAGGAAAAAGTATCATCATAATGAACAAGACATTGACAATCTAGTTGACATTTACATTTGATGGTATAACATGATGCAAACATTGACAGTCTGGTTAACATTTATACTCGACGGTAAATCAGGATGCCAACGTTATAAGAAATCCGACAGCATAGCAAACAACACGTCGAAAGTCTTGCTAATATTGACACACAAAATATAGCATAATGCCAGCGTTGTAGGAAACAATGACAGCATATCAAACAACACATTGAAACCTGGTACTGTGGATATAAAGAGCCAACATCGTAGAAACTTTTGTTAGAAAATTCAACTATTCTTAACAAGGTATAATGTATGTAATGTACTAAACACATCAGACAATATCAAACTATGTTCCCGGAAATACAGGATGCTACGTTAGTTTACATTTCATATGAAATGTATGAAACAAGTCAAAGAATGTTTGAGTTTACCAATCATTCGGCTTGGTATCCTGCAAAACTTCGTGACGAGTTTTCTTTACACGATTTGAAATGGAAACGATTATAAAATGATGTATACCACATAACTCAGGTATGATTTATTAAGAAAATCAACTGATTATAAGACTAATTTAAATCTAAATTGAAGATATTATTATTCCCTTTCTTTTGTGATATCACATTTTATTTGACTTCATGAGGTTATAACTTCACAATTGCAACAAAGGAAACATTAAACCAATTATAGCTCTTCTAGGTGTTTTTTGCACGGATAACATTGTAATTATGTGATAAAACAATCAGTGTCATGACTCCGCATCTAGAGAGCCTTTATTTATTTATTTGAATAGTACATAAAAAGAATATTATAAACACATTCAATTTTAATAGTCGCCGGTTTAAATCAAATAATCATCATGTTAATTTAATATATTACATTTCTAATGATAAATTTGCAAATATTGTTAAGTCATTCTTTTTATATATCCAAAATGAAAATGTTGACATCTATTTGATGATTCCATTTCCCTATTTCCACCATATTTGACAGTAATTAAAAGGCATCGGTTATTCTGTTTATAGAGTCAAGCTTTCCTAAGTTTCTATCTGTTGCCGAATATCCGACTTACAGAGTCGTTTGATGATGGAGAGATATTGGACACCATGCTTGGATCTACTCACCCACTAAGTATCCACGTAAGAGGTGACATGGTAAGTAGACAACATTATTTACAATATCGCAGCGCCCGTTCGCCAACAATAAAAAGCCAATGTCTATGATAAAAAAACCTACAGAGGTCGAAATCAAAACAGAATTTACCATATTACGCAAATTGTATAGGTGTCTTTGTTCACAACAGGTGCTTGTCAATGGAGTATTGATATCCGAGCCGGATAAACTAACTATGGGGGGCGTGATTCACGGAATAAATGGCCTACTTGTACCTACTCTCCACAGATGTGACATCGTGAACACTACAACTGCATACGTGAGTATTAGATATGGTTCGCGGTTAAGTACAAAAATAACACTACCGCCTACTAAGATTTAATTATAAGGAAATTGATCAACTGAAAAGGTGATATTTTTGTTATTTATCACTACTCCTACTTGTTAACTAAAGGAAGTGGTAGTATATGAGAAACTATTTAAGTTATCAATACAATACATCATTAATTCGTCCATCGGGCTGTTGTGTATACTGATCGTTCTCCTCACCCTTCACATTTGTGACGTCATCTTCACTTTTGATTCATTTATGTACGTTATGTTAATAACATTCATTTCATCTTTAACCAATCAGACAAGTCTACATCAACGAAACGAAAACGGCACAAAAATGTAGAGTAGCATACTGCGTGGTTAGTGTGATTTAATGTTAATGTGGAATGGACAGGTCATTATCTCGGGCAACTAGATTATATGCAAAGGCGAATATATCAATGATATCTTCATGCCATTATTGACACTGTAAAGCTCAACTGATATTAATACTTAAAAAAAACCAGCAAGGGTGCGAGCAGGTTCATAATTTGTCACGCGCAAAGCATTATAGGAATGGAAGACTAAACAGGTCACTAGTTTGTATGTTACTTCGTCATTATGATAATTTAGATCGTATAAGGATTTCCTGAACTAGATATGGAATGAGAACATTTTTCCCGGATCTCAGTGAGATATAGTTTTCAATTGGGATATTAAGAACGTGACAAAGACCATGTTTCATAACAGCATTCATCATGATACGTTTGTGTTGATAATGCAAATATCACTGTAACCTCCTTCAGAGACATGAATGTGAAATGATCTTCTGATCTAAACTGTTCAATGCACGTAATATACACTATATGTATTTTCGGAACTAAGAAGTCCTCTATAGTTGACTAAAATTTTATTTTGAAAGAAGATGGGCAACGCTAAACTTCGGTGATTTCATGATATAAAAAATAAAGCAAATGTGTAATAGGTTTTTGGAGGCTATTGACACATCTGTAAAGGAAAGAAGATGGTATTTGTTTTCTTAAAGATAAGTAATAATTATATGTCTGCTTTGGTCTGACATGCAGGGGGAGTGTAAAATCTGTGGAAGTGATGACGAATTACCCTGCCCCGAAGAATATAAAATGAAAACAACGGGTAGACTGATCAAAGCATGTTTCTATCGGAACAGGTTTCGCATGGGATGTCAGCGCATCTGTGAGAAAATTGAATACGTAAGTCACGTCTTGAAATCCATTACAGCTATTATAATCACATTTCAGAAAAAGTATGCTGGTGTTCAGTGCATTTGTCAGTGATGAAAACATTAACAGTCAAGAACTGGAGCACTGAAGCTTGTGCATTTTCGCTAATCTTCGTCAGTCCATGCAAGCAACAAAATAGACAATAAATTCTTGATTCTTGTATAGAACTAGCAATCTTAATGGCAAGATTATACATAAAGTATTTAATAAAAACCTAAACAATTTTAATGATGCTATGATAATTGATTTGTGTTGTAGATAAGACAATGTTGCTCTCATTACTATGGTTACGATTGTCTTGGTGAGTATGCATGTGTCACAAACATTATTATCATATTATTACGGTGAAATATGTTCATGAACTTGTGTCACCAGAATGACGCTATGTGCGATGTTAGGTATGACGTGTTTAATGCTTTCCAGTAAGACTTTTCGTTTTGTTGCTATAAACATGGACCCTATCTGAGAACATTATAGATTGCCCAAATAATTCGTTATTAAGTTCCATTTCGGATCACCTCGCCTAATTTGGTGTCAATAATGTGTTCATATTTTAGCATTCTGACACAGATTTTGAGTTTTAGTTTTGATTATGTTATTTTGTAGGTTTTCGGTTAATAGCATTTTAATATTTCCTAATCTAAAATTGAATTGATTTACAATTTAAGTATAATTCAATTCTTATGTATTAGTTAATACGATTTATTTTCAATATTTTGAACGAATGCAAACCCAGTTACTTGAACTTGTACAAGTCTAAGAGATTGCGTATATAGTTCGACATTTTAAATAAGAGGATTAAGAAACAATATCAGTTTACCTCAGATTCACCATAATATTATAGTTTGATTTGAATTAATAACTACTATACATAGATATATATATTGTCGTTATCAACTTACATTTTGCAAATCTGGAGCAAAATTTATTAGTTTTATCTAAAGAATAGCATCAAACATTTGTAAGTGTTTTCTCCGCTTACTGAATCTGTAACGAATATATTCATACGTCAAGATCAATGTTAATCTGGTCAAATTCATCGGCAACAGGCTAAATTTCATAGTTTCCTTGTATCTAGCTTGAGTAGAAATCGAAATATTACAAAATGAAAGCTGAATGAATGCTAAGTCACAGAAGACAAAAAAGTATTTTTTTTAAAGTAGGATACTGTTTGTATCGTTTTAAGAAAGCACATTGAAATATATGTTATGATTTATATATAAAGTCTCCACGATGTACAGAAACTTGCACAAAAGACAAACCAGTGAATAGAACTTTTCAATACAAATATACAACTAGATAGAGACATACAGACAGACAGACAGACAGACAGACAGACAGGCTTTCTTTATTTCCTCCTTGCAGAGATTTCATATCTTGTCAAAACATTATACAAAATAAGTCGTATTTTATACGTAAATACATTTGAAAGTATATGTACAATGTTTTTTGATATTCTTATGATTACTTTTTACATGAACAATTCATTATTTTAAACTACTTACAACACAATCTTTACATTATTGATTTAAATACTTAGACATACATTATATGTTAACGACTATAATATTAGGCTTTCCATTTCACAGGCCATACCTTTGATATTTCTAGCCATGTTTATCATCAGAGTTTCCCATTCTGTATCAGTCAAACATACTTGTGAGCGATCACCAAGCAAAAAAACAACATTGATCTTCAATGCTTAATTCTGAAAATTTTATATATGACAAAATCTCAATCGCATTTACATCACCATCCATCATTTTATCCCGACTTAGGTATAAACCAGGGCATTCAAGAATAAAATGTAGCATAATATCACTGCTTATTTTATTACAAATCTTACATTTCAACTGTTTCGTTTTCGCTGGATAACGAGTACTTAAATAATTCTACTAAATCCCATATTTATTTTTGCCAAATTCGTTTGGTGCTTAAATGCAATATCGGGTTGGTACCCTGCTCACTGTGGATAGTGGCATATTTCTGGAGTTCTTCACGTGTTTTAAGTTTATCTTTCCATCTTATAAAATAAAAGTCATAAACAAAGTTATTAATGAAACGTTTCCAACACATTGTCGGTGGTACGAATGTAGTAAAGATATAATAATTAATGAAAGACTCTATGTGAAATTTGACTATCATGTTATATATATCAGGCAGAAATCCTGCTTGAGCGGATGATGAACCACTATACATAAATTGGCACAATCTAATTATAAAAAGCTTTTTCCTTAAAACTTAGTACTTCCTAAACACAATATTTTCCAAAACAATAGTTTTCGTCTCCATATATCAAATGATCCGAGATATCCTAGGATACTGTTTGTATCGTTTTAAGAAAGCACATTGAAAGATATGTTATGATCTATATATAAAGTCTCCACGATGTACAGAAGATTGCACAAAAGACAAACCAGTGAATAGAACGTTTCAATACAAATATACAACTAGATAGAGTAGAGTTTAACATACAGCTTTTACTTCTATTTATGACTTGATGCCAAGGACATAAATAAAAAACCCAAATTACTCGAAATAAATGTCAAAAACCATGTAGGAAAGGGACCCAAAGTCACATGATTTACCAAAAAAAATCGTTTAATTATTTCATAAGAACGTCAGGCACATATCATTAAATTAGAACAAGGCATGTAGGTTACGATTGCTAATATTACCTGTATATCTGATTGTTTTGCGATTGTAAACTATATGTGTTTAATTTGAAGACTTCAAAATGTTTGTTGTTGTCAAGCTTAAATTTATTCCCTTTTTTTTATAAAATTATGGATGAAAAATTAAATTCATTTCTGCAAAAATAATAAATTCATAACCCCATTGCTGTGGCGTGTAATTATTTTTACTTATGGTTATCAAGCCTACATTTCACTTCATTTTAACTGTATATGGTCAGATGATATACTTAAAGGGCCTGATCGGTCATAGATCAATTAGTTATTCTAAGACTACCTCATAGAATCAATTAAGTATTTCTGTGTGAAATTAAAACATGTTCAATATTTGAAGTCAAAGATCAATGCTATGTATTATCAACCCCTTAAAGGATTTGTCATTATCAATTAAAAATTTCCGTTTAAACGAGTTTTGTAATTGGCACTTGAGATTCTGCACATTTTGTATGTGTGTAGAACCTTGCCCCCGATTTCATTACGATGTAAAAAGAAGAAGGTATAGTTATGCTTTAGAATAGCCTGATATCGTTACCAAGCTGAATGGGTTGGAGGTTGAAACTTGTCGTGATCCTATTCATACGATGCAGTATTGTATATTTGTACTAAAGGTTCTGGGGTCGAAACATGCCCCTATATCTGTCCATATGTTGTAGAGAGCCTGGATATATAAACACATTAGACCAGATATTGAAATATATAGGCAATAATATCAGCGTATCGAAACATGTCCCGATGTCTGAACGTATGTTGGAGAGACCAAAAGGTTTACTAAATATCAGCGTGTCGAAATATGTCCTCATAATTAAAGAATTACGACGTGTGTGTATGTTAATATAATGATCTCACTAATAAGGCCTGGTATGGTCATATTGCAGAATGTCCTGGAGGTCCGGATTTCCCCTGCAATGATAATGGCGTATGTGACGATGGTTTAGATGGCAATGGTACCTGTCAGTGCTATCCTGGCTTCAGTGGAAATGCATGTCAGTTCTGTGAGGTTAACAACACCGTCCAATCGTGTGGTTCGTATAAATATAGTTAAAACATTATTGAGTCTAACCTGGTTATAACATGTTCGATTCTTGTACAACGGAAGATGGATTTCAAGGAAACCTTTCAGAACTCTTTAATAGCATGATGATATGTGCCCTAGTAAATTTATTAAATTTTCATTTCTGTATCAGATGCTGAAAGTGCTCTTTGTCATTGCGTATTTTCAGTCAATCAGATTTGTCGAAATCAAGTTTCGCGAAAGTGCAATACGATGTTATATGAAAGATACTGTATTTATGACGCTGTAGTGAACACTATGCAAAAAGATGCTTGGGATTATACCATAAGCATTAAAATGCTATAATTGTATATTGTTTTATCAAGTATCATTAAAATAGAATCCCTCTTGTTTTAACTACTGCTGACATTCATGATGTCATAAAGTCCTATGTGACATCAAATGATTATATCAATTTCGGAACTAAATATCAAATCTAATAGATGGGTTACCAAAATTCAATAAAAAGTTCCTAATAGCAAGTTCGAGTTCGACCTTATGGAACTATCTTGTTCTTTACCTGTGTGGTGCCTTCCTTTGATATTTCTACAACAATAGGTTGGTCAAGAATCTAAAACCATCCTAGAGATCAGAGAAGTTCGTTGTAAGTCAAATCATAAACAATATTTGACAATACATTAGACACTTATGATTTAAAAGAATAGATAAATTGTAATTGTAAAAACGGACACTTAAATGAGATATTTAGAAGGAAAGTGAAAAAGTATTTTGAGCAGTTCGACCTAGTCGTTTACTCACACACTTCTCAAATTGTATAATTCGAAGTCTTCCATTCAGCAACAGCTTTATTCAGGATTGTGACAGGGGTTACAGGTTTCAATTTCAATGTTGAATAAATTCATTGACATTTGTATAAATACATAAGGCAAATAGATTGTTCATCAGCAATCTATTCAAGTTTTCTCCGACACTTAAGGACGCAGCAGTACAAAGTATATCTATGAGATAGGGAAGCAAGCAACTCAAAAGAAATTGTAACACAAGAGAAACAACTCATTTTTAAATATATATCATTATGATGATTTCAAATATCTTACACTTAAATCTGAAATTTAAAAAGGTACAAAGTATATTTCACATATATAGATCTACAAAGTGTAGATGGAATATCAATGAGAAAATATAGGTATCAAACATTTGTTTATACTTGGTATGATTGAATTTCGTCACTTCAACATGTACAGACCTAAATGTCAATTATACTATCTGCAAGGCTTAAATTCTGTTGTGAAGTTGTCCTACTAAGATTATATTCATCCTTTTAATTTTTTATTACTCAAATGCTATTCAAATATTAGAGGATTGATTTCCTAAGTACTATCTGTCATGCTAGTGTTAGCAATCGCCGTCTCTTAAACGAATGTTTATGTAGACTACTATATTTACTTATTGTAGGTCGGAGTTGCGCCTTTAACAATGGCGGTTGTAGTCAGAATGCGCACTGTGATGAGTCGTCAGGGACCACAACATGTATTTGTAAACCGGGTTACATTGGAGACGGAAGTGCTTGTGACGAACCTTGTGTGATAAAAAACGGAGGATGTCATCACAACGCAACTTGTCAATTTTTGGTAAAGTACTTTTTGTAATCTAATCTGTAATCTTAGCGTTCTTCTTACCACTGGACCAAGGTCATCAATCTTGGCGATGCTGCTTACTTGTGCAGAATAAAGTTCAATACGAATTAGGAGTTTTCAAGTCAGTCATTCATTCTTTAGATCTAACTTTCAGAGTTAAATCTAGATACATACCAAACGTTCCGATACAAACATTTCTTATAAGATGAAACTATCTAAACGCAAACCTCACGCAACGCTTCCATTTACAGATGACTACTGGTGATATGATAACTGGATATGTAAATTGTACATGTGCAGATGGAATGGAAGGGGACGGTCGTACTTGTAACTATGTGAGTACTGTATTGTATATGTTACAGTTTGTGACGGACATCCTGTGCGACTGATCACTGATCTATGAAGAAGTGTAAATTGAAAAATGCCCCAGCATATTCTTGACTTAGATATGCTACATGATTTAGTCCTCCAAGAAATTAATAATTATTTTCATCAAAACTTTCTTATTAATTTACAATTACAAACTCACCGATATATCGATATACATGAGGAATCGAGTGAAGAGCGTGTCGTGGATCAGACAGTTTTTCGTATAGGTACAAGATAGATAAGAACATAGCAGCTTTGAAGTTTGGTCGTGACCTCTCAAAGGTAATTATAATTTACAGAGATATGTACATCAAGGCAAAACAAAAAAAAAAAAAACACCAAAATAAAGGGTCTGGCTATTCATCCAACTAATTATGTGTATATGTTCCAAGGATACTACTTCTAAAAAGTTGAACTCTGGCCCAGATTGTAAAAATAGACCAAATGTGTAAGTGAAGTTGCACGATGTGCAAGTCGTTCTTAATTTATCTGATAGATGAGCTAGGCTTAAAAAATTATGCCTTTAGCATCACTGATGAGTCTTAGAAGGGCAAAATAGCTATATAATGCAGTTTGATTAATTGATTGTCTCTACTGTGTCTAACTCTAAAATTGTATTAAAAGGCGTTATTCACCTGTGTGTGTTTTGTACAGTCTTGCAGCTCCATCCGCAATAATGTGTAAGCGAACAAACGTTTGTTATACCTATTCAAAAATGAACATAACTACGGTCTGGAAAAGAAACAATTCATGACGCTTTTTGCATAAAATACTTCTAATTTCAAATTATAAATATCTGTGATTAGTTCCTGGTCAAGAAAAGCCAAGTAATTAAAGGTGAAGAAAACAGGTTAACTGAGTAGATCCATTGCTTTTTGATAAGAAGCACCAATTTGGAAATCGATGCTGATGTTCCGTGCCGCAACAGGGACATATAGACGGATATGCCGATTCATTTTTTCTGCTGAGTAGAAGAAAGAAATGGTGTTATTTTTAGGTACGAAAACAATAAGAATGTTGAAGATACAATAGAATTATTTGGTATTTTTACAAACCACTTGTAAATGACATTACTGAAAAGATGTTGATATAGCTTTGAAAGAATGATACGATCAAATCAACAAGAAAGCTGTCTAAGTGTAAGTCAAAAGTTGAATAACATGTAATAACAATTACTGAAAATATATCAGAGATTGTAAGATCGGTAGCTACCTTCATTATCGGCAACCGATCGAAAAGAACATTATTCGTCTTTCTAACGAATATAGAATATGGTTGCGGACAGTGTTGGAAAGAAATACCGTTGATGGCCAACTAAAACATCTTGTACGAACTGATCAGAATTACAACACACTAGTAGTTTCCAAATGTATTTCACATGCCATCATTTACGCTTTTTTAGGTAAACCGCGTTGACGTTTGCAGCAGTTTTCGTTTTATGCGAAACTGTCTATATGAGTTTGTTAAAGGTCTTCGTCGGAAAGAAATCTCAAAATTAATACATTCTTAATTCTGCAATGAAACGTCACCTTGACTGGTTAAAGAATGACATTCTGAAATAATAAAATTATCGTCTTAGACTAACAGAATAACTGGATTTTATAAAGTGAGGAACTATCTTATGTGAAAAAGAAAAACAATATATTACTAGTTTGTAAAGTTTATCGATATCTCAGATTTTCCTGTTAATCAAAAACGGAAATCCTACATTTAAGGATAAAGATGTCACAACATTTTATTGTAAATGAGAGTACTGGTCTTTTTTTTTTTTTTAAATAACTTGAAGGTAGCCGTACTTTCAGCAGACATCGAGAGAGTTGCGATAGAAAACGTCATTTTATGATTTTTTTCAGATGATTTATCAGAACATTTTAACGTGTGTGGAAATCAGTTCGACTTTCGGAAATATCTTCTTTTTACAATTATCTGATTACCTGATTATGACATATATGTTTGTTAATATTATTCTTTTATCGTAGCAAACTATGACATCGTCGTAAAACCCAGTTTACATAACCAATTTTCTTTTCATTATACATGCCTTGTATCTGTTTTAGCCAACTGAAGCAGTTGCTGTCATAAGTAAAAGTCGGGTAAGTATTAAGTAATTCTATATACACATTTTATGAAACAATGTAAGGGTATTGATTTATATTTCATTCCATTGTATTGTTTAGTAGTATGACTGTAAGTATTCAAGACAAAGTTTATTATCCGAGTTTTACTAAGAATCTATAAATATTGTGGAGGAGGGTGTGTCATTGACGAAACTGACAAGTTTTCTAAAATCAAAAACAAAAAAACATGAAAATCAAAGATGGAAGATAAATTATTATTGGACGACTTGTAGGTAAGCTGCCCGTCTCAATCACATGTATGTTGAGCTCAAATCATAGTAAATCGCTGTCGTAGCAGATAAAGCCATTTAGTAAACTAATTCACCAAACGTTATAACAAATAATTAAGTTATTTTCTTATAAAAAAATAATAACCACGGTGAAAATTCTATTTTTGTCGCTAGTAAATGTATTAAGAGAAGTAAAAAAGTAATTATAAGCAATCCAGTTATTAAGCTAAGAACAATACTGGTTTCGGAGAAAGCACTTAACATGACTCGAGCTGAAATATTCTGGAATCGATTTCTGAATGACAGCGCTCTAGATGTACTTTTATATGATGTGATTGACAGAAAAAAACTTCGTCGTACAAACTTTTAGCCTTATGAACTTTTCATTTATATCTTATTTCATAATGCCATTGTTACACAAGGGTTCATATTGGGCCATAAGTAATGAAAGTCGATCCTTAAGACATTCTTGGTTCTTTGTTTCAATACTTCAGCCCTGTAGTGAAACTTGTGTAACCCTCAGTTGAGATATTTAGGTCTGCTGCTACTGACAAGTTGAATTCCTGTTCTAATATTTAGATGGTGTGTTTGCAAACATGTTTTTGTTTCATGTCGTGTCTATCATTGTGCAATGTTACAGACAGGAATGGTTGTTGGTGTAACCGTCGCCGTATTGGCAGTATTGATTCTTATTGGTGTGGCCATTGTCATCTTTTTGAAGATAAAACGAGATTCTTCAGGTTTTCTGGAGGTTTGGAGCAAAGTGAGACGGGTATGTTATCATTATCAGTTTTGTTTTCAAATGTAAACTTTATTTATAATTATAGCAATTGTTTTACTGTCGGAGGAAACAGGAAAAACCCCATGTGGTAGGTTAGGTGATCCCATATGTTTTCATGTCCGTTCAGGTAATCGAACCTGGGACGTCTGAATGAGAGACGGATGCGTTGCCAGTAGCCTCCCTCGTGTTAATGTAATGATATATTAAGGCGAAGTTCTGTATCATTACCTACACATATGATTTATTGTTCTTGTCAGTTTTTCTGTGTGGTTATGTAATATATTCTTGAAACTTTGAACATTACTGTATTAATAACATTCTGTCTTTACCTGTTGCAGATATCACTGGTTCATTATGTTTTTTTTTCAGAATTCTGACAGTAGTTGTGCCCAGCTACACGCCAACTCAGATGACGAATCTAATGTAGCGCAGCCACTTTCGCCGACTGACGTCAATTTCGACAATCCACTTTATAACGTCAGTGACAACTTCTAGTTGTATTGTGGTTGTGTAATTTTAATGAATTGGTCGAACAAGTAGACAAGTGTTGTATAAATATATATAATGGTTCAGGACACTGTACGCCTTGCATGTATAGGGAACACATTGAATAATACACGTCAGTTGGTGATTAACAGATACCAATTATACATGCAGTTTTCCATATAGTTTACTTGTTCTGATTTACGGAATATTGATGTTAGATGGTGGAGATGCAACATCTATTATTTCAATAGCTGATCAAAATGGAATCATCACTTCATAGCGCAGTTTCCTTTCTGCTTCATCGCCATATGAACTGTTAGTTTCCTTAACAGTACATCGTTCTGATTCACATGTCAAACTTAACATTTTCATCAATACTGAAATTGTCTTATTGCTTTATCGCTAATTAGATTATATGTTGTGTAATATGTTTATAACATATCTTCTATAATTTTGAATTTCTTTTATAATAAACAGAGAGAAATATGAAAAATATCATATAACTGTTTTTCAAATAACACAACCAAATATTCATAACACGACTACTAAAATCATATGATATACACAATCTAAACTTTTTTTTAAAAAATATGACAATTATATTAACATATGCATTAGCTAAAATTCAATTGCGTCAAAAATGCATATCGTTATTTCTATAACATTATTAAAATCGGACAATAACTCGCCTTGCTCCCTATTAATTACGTGCAACATACTAACTTCCGGTGATCGAAGTCGAGAAAAAAAACTAATATGCCCGATAACAACATAGATCAATTACTTGAAGATGAAATTCTGTCTTTTCAATAAACAGTGTGCAGAGCTATATCGCTTTAAATCTTAAATGAAATGTAACCGGCCTTGTCAAATAAATAATATGCTGTGTCGATATATTACCTCAATAGGAACATAATGAATAATAAAAAGGTAAACTTTGTTTACGTTACCATTAGATCTCTTTAATTTTCAAGTGCTAATTCTAAATTTTATTAACCAAGCAGGTGCCTTCTGACTGTTATCCCACTTATGTTTCCTTAACATGCTTTATCTCAGGATAAATAATATTCCAGAAAAGCATATAGTAATTTCTATGTTTTAAAAGCTGTTCACTCGGTTTGATATCAAATCAAAATATGGCTTATTGAGTGGTATTCTGGTTAAAATATAAAACACTTTTACGTATAAAACATGAAATATTACGAAATAAGAAAAAGGAATTCTTGTATGAAGTTCCGTCTTTTAACAGATTACTTCAATACCAGTTTTGTTAAATTTTCAACGCAATGTGTACGGAAGAATGAAGAAAAATGACCAGTTCATTTGCGTTGATGTGAGGAATAAGACTAAAATATCAATCATTAATCACAGTGATTCCGCGACTAAAAGTCTATATGGTGAATGCAGGTGCCTATTCCATGCAGATGTCTTTTCCATGTGGTGAATGCAGATGTCTATTCCATATGGTGAATGCAGATATCTATTCCATGTGGTGAATGTAGATGTCTATTCCATATAGCGAATGCAGATGTATATTCCATATGCTGAATGCAGATGTCTATTCCATATGGTGAATGCAGATATCTATTCCATGTGGTGAATGTAGATGTCTATTCCATATAGCGAATGCAGATGTATATTCCATATGCTGAATGCAGGTGCCTATTCCATATGGTGAATGCAGATGTCTATTCCATATAGCGAATGCAGATGTCTATTCCATGTGGTGAATGCAGATGTCTATTCCGTATAGCGAATGCAGATGTCTATTCCATATGGTGAATGCAGGTGCCTATTCCATATAGCGAATGCAGATGTCTATTCCATATGGTGAATGCAGATGTATATTCCATGTGGTGAATGAAGATGTCTATTCCATATGGTGAATGCAGGTCTATTCCATATGTTGAATGCAGATGTCTATTCCATGTGGTAATGCAGATATCTATTCCATGTGGTGAATGCAGATGTCTATTCCATGTGGTGAATGCAGATGTCTATTCCATATGTTGAATGCAGATATCTATTCCATATGGTGAATGTAGATGTCTATTCCATATGGTGAATGCAGGCATCTATTCCATATGGTGAATGCAGATGTCTATTCCATATGGCGATTGCAGGCATCTATGTGCTCTTGCAAAGCTTGATTAACGCGTAATATCGTGATAAGGCGCTGCTGAATCCCATGCTGTCATTAAAATCAGATCTCCCTTAAAATAATGATAATAATAAAAAACAAAACAACAAAAAATATTTCTTTAGCATTTAGTAACAATACAAAGCGAAAATAGCAGCATATAAATACAGTGTACAATCCCCTGGCGAATTCGAACCACAGCAAAGTCAATATCAGAAAGGTTAGAAAATGTTCCTATCGTGCAATGCTTATATTCACAAACAAATCCAGTCCTATCCAGGTAGGCGATATCAACATTGAGAAACAGTTATTAGGTATGAATTGAGGCATATTTAAATTGAAATAAAACATTTTATCAAATTATTCTGAAAGGAAACATGAAACGTACAACCGAAGAAATCAAAATGAATGACCCTGAGTAGTCATCTTGTATATCAAGATGATGTTATATAGCTCCGTCATCAAAGACAAGTGATACTGTCTGACACGTTAACATTATTGCTGTGTTCGCTATCAGAAGTAATATCATGGTCTGAACGGGTGTCCATATGTATTGTCATTGAGGTATCAACATTGTCCACTTGCGGAGAAGGAACAGGATGAACACTGCTCCCTTGCAGTGTAAGATCGGGGCTATTTCGAACACAATCCTCATAAAGAGGGGGCGGTGCCGCATTAGTGTCTACAGTATGTGACCCATTGCTAGACGCATTAACCGATTGTGTCTCAGTGCCAGACGTACCGAATGTTTGTGTGCTTAAAGTTGACATGTGTATTGCACTTCCATCACCAGTAGATAAAATCAGTCCTGTGAATGGTGTTCGTGGTATATTACCACCTGAAAATACAACGCATTTGATTTTCAATTGTATGTAAACGAATACAGGGCGACTTAAAATTATGTGGTATGGAAAAATGGTTGTGATCATGTATTGATCAAAATTGTAATACTTGTCGACAGAAAATATTCAGATTAACATTTCAAAACAAAACAACGAGAAAAATAAAATTTCCACCTTCGATTACAAAATTGCCATTAAAATGTAGAATGCAGCTCTCTAGAACTTTATGTCAATAGTATGAAATGTCAAATAGTTTCGTAGTACTTAAGTTTCAAAGTTTGTTTTACCAACAGTACAAATTTCGTGGTTGGCGCTTATATCTATTTGGAAAATTGAACTTTGTGTCAAAATTAATATAAAGATTAACTTAGCTGGTCGAGCACCCATTATTGTGATATATCTGTTATCGTTATGATTCCGGTGCTTCAGTGCGCGTGCTATTTTTGTCACGGTTTTGCAGACTAAAATGACGAGTAGTAAGTTTTTTTATCTATTATATACGATTTTGTTGGTAGATGTTAGTGTAAAATAATTCACAACATTGAAAAAATTTAAACTTTCAAAATTGTACCAGTAGATAGTAGATACCAACAGGTTTTAATTCCCTACAACTTGACTTATATCCTAGTTATCTACGAAACTGAAGGAAAACTTATTTGGTGATGAACTCTCCCAGTTCCGTTGTAAAGCTTTTTACAAACCAAAATTTAAAAATGCATTCAAAATATCCTCATTTATTCTATCCTGTATGTTTCTTTTTAGAATTTAAGAGCCGGAAAGCACAGAAACTTCAAAATGCACGTGGAACTTTATTTTACTTTGATCTAACTTAAGAAAATTAATAAGTGTAAAACAAAATGTGGACATTCAATGACATATACGATCGTATAATTATTTATAAATAAGGCTAGGAAATTTACACGAGGATATGAAATACCAGGAAAAAACGAACGAGGAATATACATGCAGCTGTGAACATAAGAATTATGAGTAATGAAGGAATTTGTTAGAAGTAAATGCTCCAGGTTTGTAGATGGATAAACTGACAATTGTATTGACTGTATTCCTAGCGTGGTACTTAATTTTACTTAATAGAGTATTACTTTCGTTTATTCAAAACACTGTTCTCTGGTTACCGGAAATGGAGTTATGTAATCATGCAGCATGTGTTAAACAAAATGTTATCTGCTTCATTTGAATGAGTAAAGGTAGAGCAAAGTGACAGTATATTCTTATACAATTCAGGACAGAGTTTGTGATAATTATTTGCCATGTAACATTACTTCATTATTGTAGGTTTTCATGTGCATCACCGTGCGTGATACTTAAATGCAGAGCAAAATGACTGCGCCCCTCATTATCAATCTAAGATATAACATTATATATACTATGTTATATTGGTTTGTATGCAGCTGGAAATGGTTGTTGGCAGACTGTAAATTGTCTGCTGGGTACTGACCTGTAATAGACCTGAGAACTTGAGCGGTTTGCGGATCTATAGCTGGTACAGGTTTTCGTGTCCATCTGGCGATGACACATACAGCAAAACATAAGAACATGATTGCCCCGGCTATACCGCCAAATATGATAGCATTGTTTGACGGATAGTCATAGCTGAAAAAGAAACATTTCATATGTATTCAGGAGGCGTGTTAATGAAAAGTCTATCGATATTAATGATTATATATGAAAATGCTGGGGGTATGCTATAATAAAACATATGAACCTTGTCTGGTAGTGACTGGTTACACGATGATTTCTCCAATATAAAATTACAATGTGACAAAGGTACGTTGTTGTACATGCTCACCGTGAATGAAGTTATCATCTTTCCAAGTCAGGTTAACATACAAAAACTTCATTATGTAGATAATTAGCGATTGTAATTTTAATTTGATTTCTATATTTTTTTTCGTTGAAGATAACAAATGTATTTCTGGTTATAATTAGTCATGGAGTTAGTGTATACCAGTGTATGTCGCAAATTGTCTGTTTTGCATGTTTATTAGCAGAATTTCACTAAAGGCCATTATATCCCTACAGATCGCGTAAATAAAACACCTAGGTACAGGACAGGTAACTTTTATATATTTTTATTGTGGTAGAAAGAGGTCACAAAAACGTGTGGTTGTTTTATATAGTATTTTATTACATTTGTTAGTACTTCCAAAAGTTACAAAAACAATTGCTAAAACATTTCATGTCTTTTTTTAACTTTTGAGAAATAACTTCACTAAATGAAATATATACCACAACCGCTCGTTGTGTGACCTCTATGTAACACATTGCCTTTTCTCTTACATAGTATGTGAACGGGTATATCAATACACTAGACCTGATTTACATACGGGCTGTAGTATTGGTAAGGGCAGCAGTAGCGATATTCGAATATGTCACAACAGTGTTGAGAATCTGTGCAGTAGATGTAGTATTTAACCTCTCTCACTAGGCCTGTATCTGAGTCGTATGTGTTGTAGCCAGTTGCACAGTTTTCATCCTGCACAATGCCATCTGTAACGAAGATGGTATATTGTATATATCAATATTCATGGTTAACTTTGTACAATAAAAATCATCAAAATAGAACGTAATTTAGTTGTCTTTTTTCTACATTTTATATATGTTGTTTCTACCAGTATATAAAATAATGCCAAATTCACATTAGAAAAGCTAGTTGATAGGGTCCTATAGAAAGTATATTGTCGTGAAGAAGTTTTCAATCACAGATATAGCAACCCTTGTAAACTATCAATGTTACCAGGTAGGTAGTAGATTATGTCTTCGTGATACTGGCTTTACAATGATATGCTTGCTTAAATCATGCGACTTTCCTGTTCTGTTTGAAGTGAACATTAAGTAACTCTAAACAATAATGAAAGTACTGAAAGGCTAAACGTATTGAAAAATGTTCACAAATAACCGCAAAGCTATATTACTATTCCCATACTCCTACACTTTGGAATGCAAAAATTACTAAAATAAGAGAACCAGAGGCTATTTTTCTTAATTTTAAGCGATTTTATATCTTCTTTAATTCTGATTTCAAATTTGACGACAATAATGTGAACAAATCAAAATAGGTAAAAAAAAAACAAAATACACACAACCATATATTTATCACCAACAAGCCAAACGATAAATACCTCTATGATGAAGTTGACTAAATAAAACCTTTGAAATACCCAAGATGTTGCAATTACTATCCTATCAATATGAGGATTTAAACAAATCGAAAGGACTTTATACCTACTTCTTTATTTTGAATATATTGCAAAGTAATAGTCCTTACTTATTATGATTATATTTGTAGTTGAGGAAAGTAGATAAGGTATACACAGCATTTCAGATAGGTGAAAGTGTAAGTAATTACATTAAATGTATTTACATGCCTATCTTCCTTGAAGTATCATGGTTAGACTTTTCCTCCAGTAATTATGTCTATAAAGACATAGTTCTTTGAGATTAAACCAGACTTCCATATATATACAAAATTTACAATATTTTCACTTTAGCTACTACTATTTCTGATCTCCAATGCATTAGATGATGTCACCATGACACGCTAAATGAATAAATATGTTATGGAAATATTTCGTTCTAGTTAATTGATAATTATAAACATGAATATTTTGTTTGAAGGAATATTTTCATTTCAAGGAACTTTGATACACATTAACAAAACTGGAGAAATCAGCACAATCAACCTCCTTCAAATAAAACATCATGATCAGTACAGTAATAAACATATATTATTCATAAATCATGAGCACCAAATGTACCTTGCCTACGAAGCGCAAACTTTTTATCTTCAAAAACTTGAAAAAGTGTCGTGGCGGTGGATGTGAAAAACCTGAAAAAGTGTCATATCGGCGGGTGTGCGCGTGGGACGAACAGTCCAATTCGGTGATGTCTACTGAGGTAAAGTGATGTTATATATTAAGATGATCTTGCCACAACGACAAGGATTAAAACAAAATTGATGTTCTGTTTGTAAGTTTTGTTTATTTATAAGTGCTGTTAGTTGATAATTCAAACCAAGCCCCCAGACTAGCTTCTTATCAACTTCTTATCACGTACAGTGTTCTGTACGTTTACGTCATGTCGAGAATTCCGTAAAATATATTGTTCAAAATTTATCAATAGTTCAACCACACTGTGCTTCTTTTTTGAAATATATAGTAATCGTATTGTTATTATAAAAATAAACTACTTTTGGATGCTTTTAAAATAGCGATTTGGAAGACCGCGGCATTATTTACGCAGAAAATTGCCGCTAGAAGGCTCTCGATATGTCGGCCAATGAGAAGGCCAGGATCGGTAAATTTTGTCTGAAAGGCCGTCGCAATAGCCTATTCTTACTGAGTACGTTTAGCCTAAAAAGGAATGAAATTATCAATTTTTATAACAATTGATTTTCAATTTTTTTGAACAGCAGGACGATATTGCATATATTATTACATCCTTATTTGTAGATATGCGTGTAAATTGATCACAAGTAATAATTAATACTTGCATTTACATTGAATGTTCATGCTATATTTGTTTTCAATACATAAAGGACATTTGTATCATTTAATAAAGCCATTTCATAAATATCAGAAGGCACAAGTGTTTTAACATTATTGTGACGTCATAAATATATAACTTCGATGACACCACACGATTGTCTCGACAGTGAAAAAACGTATCGTTTGCATCGAAATAAAACTTGTATTAGAGGGAAATTAATTTGAAAGTTTAACCTTATTGTTGTAAGAAATACAGACTATGTGATCAGTAGAATCTTATACTCGGTTTTAATGTCAGTTCATATCTATATAGAACACAGGACACAAAATGAAAGCTTTGGAATTGACCAATGATATTTAATTAGTGTAACCGGGTGTTAACATTATAGGCATCACCACATTCGTATACAAGGAAATTCACAACAGATATTGCCTACTCACGAGTTCATGAAATGTTAACACTAACGTTCGACATGTGGTAATATGCAAATTTATACACAAAACTTAAATCATTACAATAACCTAGTTATTTGGGAGTATAAATAGGCTAGGCTGTACCAATAAGTAAATGTGTATGGCGCTTTAAGTAACTGACACAGAATATCACGATCGTTTTAGGAGCGATTCTTTTCGCATGGCAGTACAAAAGTAGGTCAAACATACATGGTACAAAGAAATCGACGTTCTTCGAGTAATAACGATATATTTACCTAGAGGCTTTTGGTGATTAGCATATACTTTATATGCGACACATTCATAAACACACCTTTGACTGATACATACATGTTTAAAGGTGCTGTAAATTAAAGTGGTATATTTAGAAACAGGAGCTATACTTCTGTCTGTTTATAAACACGTAAATTACTTACCTGTTGTTGTTGTGAAAGAATGTATACACCGCCATAGACAGCTGGCCAGCGACACGATAAGTGGAATCTTCATATCTTAACCTGTGAAATGGGAGCTACTGCAAGTGAATGATCTCCCTCAAACAAGCCATATTATCTAGTGTCATACACATATTTCAAAATTACTTAAAAAACAACAAGTTTCGTAACAGGGTCACATACGTATTTCGCAATTACCTCGGAAAAGTCTCCTAACAATGTCACACATATGTCTTGTCAAATGTCATCTTCAACAATTTGTGACGACTCCCGAGAAGAACTGATTAGATCCGAAGAAAGTATACGGATAAGCATGGCCACATCAAAGGTGTGGTCGGACATACCACCAACTACTCAATGGATATCGGCAGGTAGGATAAGGCTTAATATAGAACAGTTTATAGAACTCAGTCATGTGTGTCAATGTATCCCTGAATATTGGACGGCGGTGATTATAAAAGAAAACGTAGTGTCACGTCTTGATCTATTTATTGATCTATTGAATATTGGGTTTAAACCCTTATATTATACACGGTACCTGCATGGAAAAGTTCAGAACTTGATGTAATGTCGAGTTGTAGACCGTGGAAAGGGTACTAAATCTTTCATTGGGCATGCATATCACGAAGTAATACTTAAGGTAAGCTTTATCATCAGTATACTTTAGTTTATCTTTTAAATGGATATCTTCTTAACAATTCCTGAATCAAGTATTTCACCATTTAATGGAAACACTTTGATATTTAACTGCAGATTTCTATTTTTACCTTCTAGATAATTTCCACAGTACCATTATGCATTGCCCATGGCAACAGATATGATTACAACTATATCGTAATATATATCTTTAGTACAATACTATTTACAAACAATATTTGGCTCAAAAAATGTCATATTTCCAATATGATTTTTTGAAGTACGATTTCGTTTTAACGAACGGCTATTTCATTTTCTCGAAATTATATTTTGTTTATTCTTTTGTCGAAGATTAACTAGGGAAAAGTTCAGCGGTTAAGGCCAATTGGACCTTCCTGATAACAGAAAAAGTGAATACCATATAAGAAGATATAAATGGTTCTCCTTTTCCCCCGGATTGAATTATGTATCAGGAATAGCTTTCAGATTAAATGTTGATAAAACACCTTGAAATAATTTGGTTTGTTTTTTCGAACTTAATACCAACTAATTCGTACGGTTGCAATATTAATAGAATATATTTCATATAATTCAGTTAAAAAATCAAATGAAGTCACATACAATAGATTTTCATTGTAATGACAACATAGCTGTTTATTTGTTTTTATGTATGCATCTTTGTTTTTTGTTCGGTCAATGAAAGATAATACTATATTTAAAAAAACCACGCAACAGACTTAGATTTTGTTCTGTGAGGATTACAATCTTGTTACATACATAATATTGATAATAAATTACACTTGCTTCACGTGCTTCCTTACTAAGATGCACATACGGTCATTAATTTGTGAAGATATTAAAAAAAACCTTCATATAAAAAGAGGTACTTTTCGAAGACTTAGATATGTTCTGAGTATTTATATCTAAACAATAACTCCAAACAGCTGCACAAAATAATTTGCAGGTTCATGATTCAAAAGCCGACAAAAGCCATAATGTTTTAAACCTAATCTGCAAAGAGGTGTGTGACGTCTTTGAATGGCGTAGTACTTGTATTTCGATAAAAAATACAATAATATAAAAACTGAAAAGATAATTCGTTGAAACGAAATATATATTTGAAAATAATAAGTGCATCATTACAGTAAACGGGCGCCATATTATTGTCTATTCATATCAATTTACATTGATTATTTTTTTGTACAGAGTTTACAAACACCCGATCAGTAATACAATGTGTTAGGAACATGCACTTTCTAATTATAGCGACCGAAATCAGTCATCATTAAGCTTCAAAACCATGTTTGATTTCCTTAGTGAATGACACGACCGTTAAGCATAACGACCTTGGACTGTGTTATTTTTTCATTGAGATACAAATCGCTTTGATATGAGTTTACTCCCTTTGTATACACTTGGTTTGTGAGTATATGTATCAATTCACACTATTGATCGACATCTTCACTCTAAATACAACCTGCAGTGGTTGTTTTACGGAATATCAATTCGAGAATTAATTGGGTCGATTGTAAGTAAATAGAAATTTGTAGTAGGATTTGATTTGTTTTCTTTGTGCAGCGTCAGGTTAAATGGATCGATACTTTAAGTAGGTCTAATGGATTCAGTGTTATACACTAGATCCTCTTTTGAAAACTTGACTTTGCATCTCTGCGACTTAGATGAAGCAGATGATTCTTACTTTCCAAAATAGTTGGTCTTCTTATCCTTCTATTCGTTTAAAGGACCACGTTTAAATCATTTTTGTTCATTTAATGTCCATGTTTGATCAATCCTGATATTTAAACTAGTTGTTGTAATGTATTTACTTATTTTCACGAAGGACCCATAAGTACATTTTTTTTGCTATAATGTGTTCGAACGTTTAAACTTAATTGCCTTCCCCTGGTCATTTTTACTACTTATTGAACCTGGTTGACATATAACAGATACTTGTCTTTTGGGATAATTTTCGTGGTCTTTATTATGTGCATCTTTAACAATGTCAAGAAAAAACAAAGCAAACAAAAATAAAAAACTTAATCGACTCCCAGTTTCCCCTCATCTGAAATTGCAAAATACACAATGTTCACGTGTTCTGTTTACTTTTACACTCGTCAGTAAATTTCCTGTGATCGTATTCATCGCCATTCTGATAAGTAAATTTCCTGTGATCGTCGTCATTTCCAATCTGATGAGTAAATTTCCTGTGATCGTCGTCATTTCCAATCTGATAAGTAAATTTCCTGTGATCGTCGTCATTTCCAATCTGATGAGTAAATTCCCTGTGATCGTCGTCATTTCCAATCTGATGAGTAAATTCCCTGTGATCGTCGTCATTTCCAATCTGATGAGTAAATTTCCTGTGATCGTTTTCATTACCATTCTGATTAATCACCCTTTATCATCTACTAAGACTCTATATTGGATGTTCACGCTATCTGACTTTGATCATTATTGGTCTATACTGATTCCTTGTAATATTTGACAACTGTAAGGATCTCAATGTCACGTGTGACCACTTGTTCATATTTTCATTATTCTTTCACTTTTGATAAGAACACTGTTTAATTTGGAGGTATTTATTAAGGACGAAGTCATGTCTTGATCGAACGCTTTCCATGATTTTTAGGACCCAAAAACAAAGACTTCAGCTCGTTATTTTGTTCTTGGAAAAATTGCTATATGTATGGTTGTAAAGATAGTTAAATGTCATTGTAAGGATCGTTAAATGTCATTTTAAAGATAGTTTAATGTCATTTTAAAGATCGTTAAATGTCATTTTAAAGATCGTTTAATGTCATTTTAAAGATCGTTAAATGTCATTTTAAAGATCGTTTAATGTCATTGTAAAGATCGTTAAATGTCATTGTAAGGATCGTTAAATGTCATTTTAAAGATCGTTTAATGTCATTTTAAAGATCGTTAAATGTCATTTTAAAGATCGTTTAATGTCATTTTAAAGATCGTTAAATGTCATTTTAAAGATCGTTAAATGAATTGACGGTTGTTATGTCAAATCTATTATATAAAAGTGTAATTCTACTATCTTTTATGAATAATATGTGAGAATTGGTTATGTTTTTACACATATTCTTACACACATATGCTGGAAAATATAGTGCAGATTTTTTTTGTTTTTCAATTACTTTCTAAAGTCTTACCTTCATACAGCCTTAAAGAGAAAGTTGTCTTATAATTACAAAGGAGCGAACACATTTGATAATATTATCATTCCCATCTGTAAATGATGTGATACACTACTTTTTTAAACATATTGTACGTATTATTGTCATTAAGTTGCTGTCGTTTATACATACCGCCATTATATATGTGGCATAATACTGCCTGATACTGCTGAGCATGTCATTCATATAGCACGTTATTCATTTACAGATACATTAGGTACACTACTATGTTTATCTACTACATGTCCTGCTGAATACTTTTGTCGGTCAGCTGCAGTATTTATAACTGTATGTAACACTCTATACATAAACAAAATTGTTTTATGGACGACGACGACGACGACGACGACGACGACGACGACGACGACGACGATGATGATGATGATGATGATGATGATGATGATGATGATGATGATGATGATGATGATGATGATGATGCCGTCCATCTGGTTTGAACACTAGAATATATCTGTCTTACATGTATATACATTTAGGTTATAAAGTTACATTTGAAGTCACATTGTTGCCCAGATGTACGAGGATCCAATCACTTATCCACTGTTTCCACAAACAAGTCATCAAGATATAAGCATGTTCAGTCTGAGTTAGCAGGTGAATGATTATGATCAATTTGAACTGTATTAGCTGTCACATTGCTATCCGAACCTGAGTAAGCGTTGTTTGTAAACAGGTTCAGAGCATCATACGCAGGCGGTGGTAATATTAAGTTTTTCTCTAAACATTCCTCGTAAGATGGCGGTGGTGAAGGAGCTGGGTCCCTCATTTGAATGCTGGAAGGAGTTACCTGTATTGAAGTACTTGTATCGGAAGTGTTGGTCTGATTTGTTAAAGATGAGAAATGAGATCCTCCACCTAAAAGAATAATTATCTTTAATAGAGTGTGTATAGATCAATATATCTAAGGGCAAGACAAACTGAATACGTTTGATGGCAGTATCTTGAGAAAAATAGATTTTATAAGCAAATGAATGAAATGATATACGAATATATTGTAGCAAAATTAAAACGATAAGTGGAGATTGGCTTTCTAATGTCTTCGTGGAGTCTGGATTGACAATTTCACAAGTCCTTCTCAATTTGTTTTTTTTCATAAAGTGCATCAAAACGCTGTTGTTACACAGCTCATTCCAATTCACAATTTTGCAAAGGAGATCCATTTCCTATTGTCCTAATCACAATGAAAGCAGTTAGCGGAGTATGAAAGGGACCAGATACCCATAGCCAAAGCTAGAAATACCTAAAGAATAATATTGGAAAGAAACAGCATGATATCCTTTGGTCTTGGAAATTGATTTTAAAAGTCAGTAAACATGTCTTTGAAATCGTGCAAAACGAATTTTCCGTATATCGGTGTCATTGTGTATTAACAAAAGCTGAGATGAATCAACTTGTATGGATAATGGAAAACAAACTAGCATAAATCTACATAGTTCTAGTGAATTTAATAAAAAAGATTTTTTGTTCTTTTTCAATTTTTTTACAAAATAACTAAAGTTAATCTTTTGTCTGGTGTTGATATCTCAAGGATCGTTTTATTTATCTATTTATTTAGTATCTTTTTTGTAAATCGAAAGCAGTGAATGAATGTGTAGCTGTTATGGAGTTTATTGATTTTCTGAATCCGTATCTATTCTTGATATCTAATTAACAACGTACGTTCTTTATCAATTTGGGTCGATCTCAGTTCTAACAACTCTCCTCGTTCATTCAAATGCAAAAGCATAATACTTGAAAAAAAGGAAAATTTAAGAAAAAAAATAAGCCAAAATAAAGTTTTCATTGCTTTCTCTTTTGAACCACTAAAACTGTAACGAAAAAAAGGTTTAAAAAATTACTGAAATATTTGGCAACGTTTATAAATTCAGACTTTCTGCTTTGAAACAGAAATATTGTAGAAAAGCCTTAATGATTATAAAAAAAAGTACCATTGCCATTTCATGCAAACAAAAATTTCCGAAATCAAGAGACAAATTAAGTATCTATTATCTTGTCCTTAAAATCACGGAAAGTGATCCACCCAGTTAGAATTTACGCCCTTAATTTGTGTTATTAATGCCCCAATCTTCCTCAAGTTATGCTCAAGAGTACAATGTACTTCCACCATGGTGTAAATGTTGAAATTATTGACGCTTTTAGCCGAATCAGTAGGTATACTACGGCGCCACAATGCTCAATTATAGCTTTTAAACACTACAATAGATAGCAAAGTACAAAAATACATTTCATGTCTCGTTTTGCCCGTCTTGTGACAAACCTTACGTAATGCTATAACTACAAATGTGTTTCAATCGTTATGCCACAAAATTAAAAGAATTCCAAATGAAATAAAATACTCCTAAAGTCAGCATTATATCCGAAGACAAATAATTAAGATAACAAGACTTCACTGACCTGTCGGAGAGTTTGTCTGATCAGTATAAGGTTGTTCTGTAGAGGGAGGCTGACGGCGAACCATTTTACCACATATGCATGCGCATAAAACAATGAATATCGTGCATGCTGCAATACTACCAAACATCAAACCAATAGTGGGAGAATCATCGTCATCGTTGCTGCAAGGTAAGGAAAACATCATCAGCGATTTAAAGTAAATGTCTAATGGCACGTTTCTAAAATATTGGAGTGAAAATAACATGCGATGGTACAGTGGGTGATAGATGTTTTAACTTCATAAAGGTTAAACCTGTTGATAAAAATACTGATGTAAGTATTCAATTTTTTTTTTTTATAAAACTTCGATGTTTTAAAAAAATATTTTGGTTACTGTTTGGTTTATTTCGTATGCGTATCTAGTTTCCAATGTATTGTCATTATTTACATGGCGTTATCACGACTTCTGTTTCTTTAAAACATTTACATGATAATTCAACAGCAGGTCATAAAAAGAGACAGAGCCTTGAAAACTGATTGAACTTATTGGTACACAGATCATTTCCTTGTTTAGACGAGCGTGAATGATATATTAAAGAAAAAATACTAACGAATTATTTTCGGGGTTGATGCAGCAATTTCTGTCCATCAAATGACCACAGCAGTAGTCGTTGATACCACATGAGATATAAGATTCTTCATATTCACCACTGTTTGTGTAATAACCAAATCGGCAGTCTTCATCAACTTCGTCGCCATCTAAATTTACGAGAAAGGTAAATAGTTACATTGCAGCTACTGACTTTGGCCACCGGAACCAATTCTCAACACTACACCAAGAATTGTAAGTAATATTCAAAAGATACACAAGTGTAACTTAGTAGAATTCATCATTTGGTGCTACTCTATCTACATGTAATTCTGAATTTGTATTGAAATGAGCTATTCACTTGTGTGCCTGTTGTACAAATTAAAACATGACATTCATTACTTGGATAGACCAAGATTTACATGGGGGTGTCGTCGATGAAGCAGAAGATGTTTACTCTTGCGAAACACATGGCTTTCTTTGGATTATGGTTATGTTGATATTTTCTTGGCGTTTCTTGAGGAGAAATAAGGCCTTGATATATATATCATTCAATTACAAATAAATTAAAACTAATTTCGTGAGATATTCTACATAATATTTTTTGAATTTGTTATGTAATATTTTACACAACATTTGTTCAATTTCCTTGATCGATTTTTTTGTCGGAAGGATCAAACACTTTATTTACTGATTAATGATATATGATATATTTCCAAAAGATTAGAGAATATGATTGCTATAAACCGACTTAATTTCCTATCTGATGACTTTTGTTAGTTAAATATGTAATAACAGTATACTAACATTTTGGATGGATTCGTTTCCTGTGATCTAAAATACTCATTTCTGTTTTATTGCCACTACATATGTATTACATAATTAAATACATATAACCTGTAAGCAGTGTATTTATATCAGTAACAAGATTTATGTTGTGGCCCATGTGCATTAATACCTTTCCATTGTTTCCACTTTGGCTCCATAACTTTATGATCATATGCATTGTGACGTCACAAAAGAGAGAGTTTTGTCTTTTTGTAGTATGTTTACTGTTTTTACTTGGTCAAAATGTGTCATTACAAACAATAAACATATCATTTTAATAATCACATTCACCTATGGGATTGTTATACAACTTGCTGTTTTATCATATGTTGTCGATGAGTACAACATAATACAACATCGGTATGCATACCTAGCGGTTAAACGCTGTACTATTTAACATGCTATTGACGGATGACAAGGGCAGATCACTCCGAGAGACCCAGCCAGAGAAAACATCTTTGCCGTATCCTTTTGGTTGTACACTCTTAGCAAATTAATATGTATAACAATAATGAAATTATATCCCCTTAACCCAGGGCTAGAATTTACTCATCAAATTCCAGTACGTAAATTAAACACTCCGATAAAATTCGTTTGGTTTAAGTTTCAAAGAATCCGAATATGTGCAATGAAAAATCAGACGAGGGAATATATTAACTGTTGATGGAGAGCAATTATGTCATTTCGGCTCAATTAGATATTCTGACCTTAGTTTCCACAAGTCGAAAAGCTTATTAATAGGCCATTAAACTTCTGTGCCGATATTTATGTAATACCCAAAATAAATAAAGATATGGATGAATAGATATAAATGTATATGTTCAGAATGTCAGAAACAGCAGAAGATCTACCGATTACCACAGCCTCTCCTCGGGAAATTTTATATAAACAAACCTGCTATATCGTGTACGTATCCCTCACTAAAATTGCTATATCCTCTTTTGTGGGATTTCGCCGAAAGTATTAGTTCTGAAGCTTACTCCTCGGATATCCGAGGCCCAGAGGCCAACGGTCGTGACGAGGCCGGCAAAACGTATTCGGCGGCCATGCTATTGTCAGGGAAGCATACCAAGCCTGGTTTTCGAATTTCATGGTGGAAGTGTGAATATAGACTATAAATGTATATCACGTACATTGGCATGAACCTGTTGAAACTTGATGTGATGTTATTTCTAGTTCCATAGTCTGTGATGACGACATTTTCAGTCGAGCCGATATTCGACGCACTATTCCTAATGTCATGATTTTCTTCCCTTTTTCATAAGTCGTAAACCACAATGTCTGCAAGTGATACATGTTACTGAAGAGAGCGGGAATGTTTCATAGACGAAATTATGATGTTAGTGGGAAATATAACATAACTTTGTGTATTATGGTTTCAGATCTTATCGATAACTACACCACTTCTTTTTATTAGAACCTGACATTATTTGGTTGTAACCTTTCTTACTATCAGTAGGGTCATTGTCAACGTGACCAAATATCAACCTCCAGGGAAATGTATGTTTTTCTCCTTATATCATTTTAAAGTTCACCTTTGTTTTTTTCCCCTTTTTCCTCTTGTTTCATCGAATTTGATTTGGAAAACCGGGGCGTTCATTCGTCGGTATTATATTGCAATAATTTATGTCGCTGTAATGACCTAACATGTGTTCACGTGTGTGTTCACAATAACTTTTAGAACAGATTTGACACGTGAATGTCGCGTTTCGTGACAGGCAATCTTTGCGGTAGTAGCAATGCAAATTCCACATAATTAATACACATTATTATAAAATATGTAACGCTAACATCAACACGAGAAACAAATCTAAAACTGATTATACAGATGTACATATTTATATGTCCATTTAAGAAAATTTATACTTCAACTGCTGTCCTATTATATCATAGATACATACATTATACACGAGAAGTTGAGTTAGCAGTGTATTCATGTATAAAAAGGGTCAAAGGAAAAAGTTACTGACTAGTCAACAGAATTCTAACTCAAACACTAGGAAACGAGGGCAACATACGGACTAAAGGAACATTAACACGGATGTCAATGTAAAAAACTAGTGGGAAAATAAGACCAGGTGTTCTGGAATGATAAGCGCCTTCATCAACGACAGTCGCGATGTAAGCCTTAGTTAAAGTCAGATGAGTGTTTTAACGAAGAAGACGACTGAAGTTACCATGTCAGAATATCAAAACAAAATTTAATTAGTCACATCGATTTGAGTTTGTTTTAATCAACAAATTAAAATCTGACATAACTTTGAAACTCGTTCAAGGTAACCCAACATTGTTAATGCTGAATCTGTTATTCAATTTGAAATATAAGGGTATATGAACATTGGAAAATAACCCTTTACAGTTACTTATGTAAAGCCATTGTACAGAGGAGTTATTTACATGATGCTATGTATTTGATATTGATATCGACATAGAGGCTACACGCCTGCGTTCATCATTTATGCTAATAATGCTAATAAATACTTATACTTTGGTATATACCGTTATACTGTTTGTAGTACAATGTCCAAACAAATTTGTCCCTAGGTATTGTGATAAAAACGAAGTGTGACGGACGGAAAGACAGACAGGCGGACGAAAATATTATGTCTCCTAGAGCTAATCCTTTATAGCTCTAAATCATCACGTAATATATTTACATTTTATGTTGTATTTATTTTATGTAATTATTCATTGACTCATATCGATAAAGAAATAAACTGCTACCCTGATTAAATTATTAAATAATATTGCCAATAAATTACAGTGATTCTGAAGAAGAAGACTTGTTATGAAGTTAGGTATTATAACGGAATGTAAGAGAACTACACAAAGTTACTTAAGAAACGTAATGATCCACACATTACTTGTTTGATATGTAAAATGTGAAGTTATAACTATGTTCATGTATTTGTATTTGTAATACGTAATATGTTTGTATACTAACTAAGAAGATATATTTCTTAATTTCTAGATCCATGGTATTACCCAAGTTTACACAATGTAAATTATAAAGGTATAAGTAGAGACAGTTTCTAAGCTCGCCAGTAGCATTAGGTTTTCTTTGATATTTTCATCTTTTATAACTATTACAATATGAAATAAATATTAGATTAACAACTACGCAAAAACATACAGACTTTCAGACGAAATTGTTTAGTCGAGTAAAGTACAATATTGAGTATCAAGATATTAAAATCCAGCAATATAATGCGAGATATTTACACACACACACATACACACATACATATATATATATATAAATAATACTTACCAGCTATACTAGGCCAGGTTAAATACATAACAAGCAAAGATAATAGTTCCATCACGATTGCTGTTATAGAACCATACAATGTTAGTGTTTGAAAATCCACACACTTATAACAAGGATAAACAAGCTGTATTTCTCAGAACAAAAGTTCATCGTCATTCAAGCATGACTGTTGTAGTCACATCTGCGTGAACATGAATTATGTAGCCTCATACGACTGCGTCATAATCACCTCATACCTGGTAGTAACACTCCCCTGAGGCGTGTACAGGTAACGAGAACAATACTACTAACTTAACAATTGTGGACGAGAAAGAGACAAATAATAACCAAGATACAAAATAGTAATAAAATGAGAACAAAATAGGAAACTAACGATAACATGGTGGATAAACCAAGAAGGAATGTAGAACATTATATGTTGAAGATCGAATAACAAAGGTATAATTATCCAAGCATAGGAAAAATTGTGTACATCGATAAAATATAAACCAAGATAGGAAAAATCGATAACATGGTAGATATTACCAAATTAGGAAAAATCGATAACATGGTAGATATTACCAAATTAGGAAAAAAATCGATAACATGGTAGACATTAATAAATTAGGAAAAATCGATAACATGACAGGATTAATAAATTAGGAAAAATCGATAACATGACAGGTATAAACCAAATGTATCGATAACATGGTAGGTATAAACCAAGATAGGAATGTATCGATAACATGACAGGTATAAACCAAGATAGGAATGTATCGATAACATGACAGGTATAAACCAAGATAGGAATGTATCGATAACATGACAGGTATAAACCAAGATAGGAACGTATCGATAACATGACAGGTATAAACCAAGATAGGAATGTATCGATAACATGACAGGTATAAACCAAGATAGGAATGTATCGATAACATGACAGGTATAAACCAAGATAGGAATGTATCGATAACATGACAGGTATAAACCAAGATAGGAATGTATCGATAACATGACAGGTATAAACCAAGATAGGAATGTATCGATAACATGACAGGTATAAACCAAGATAGGAATGTATCGATAACATGACAGGTATAAAACAAACTAGGAATGTATCGATAACATGGCAGGTATAAACCAAGATAGGAATGTATCGATAACATGACAGGTATAAACCAAGATAGGAATGTATCGATAACATGACAGGTATAAACCAAGATAGGAATGTATCGATAACATGACAGGTATAAACCAAGATAGGAATGTATCGATAACATGACAGGTATAAACCAAGATAGGAATGTATCGATAACATGGCAGGTATAAACCAAGATAGGAATGTATCGATAACATGACAGGTATAAACCAAGATAGGAATGTATCGATAACATGACAGGTATAAACCAAGATAGAAATGTATCTATAACATGACAAATATATACCAAGATAGGAATGTATCGATAACATGACAAATATAAACCAAGATAGGAATGTATCAATAACATGACAGGTATAAACCAAGATAGGAATGTATCGATAACATGACAGGTATAAACCAAGATAGGAAACATGACAGGTATAAACCAAGATAACATGACAGGTATAAACCAAGATAGGAATGTATCGATAACATGACAGGTATAAACCAAGATAGGAATGTATCGATAACATGGCAGGTATAAACCAAGATAGGAATGTATCGATAACATGACAGGTATAAAACAAACTAGGAATGTATCGATAACATGACAGGTATAAACCAAGATAGGAATGTATCGATAACATGACAGGTATAAACCAAGATAAGTGTATCATGATAACATGACAGGTATAAACCAAGATAGGAATGTAGGAATGTATCGATAACATGACAGGTATAAACCAAGACAGGTATAAACCAAGATAGGAATGTATCGATAACATGACAGGTATAAACCAAGATAGGAATGTATCGATAACATGACAGGTATAAACCAAGATAGGAATGTATCGATAACATGACAGGTATAAACCAAGATAGGAATGTATCGATAACATGGCAGGTATAAACCAAGATAGGAATGTATCGATAACATGACAGGTATAAACCAAGATAGGAATGTATCGATAACATGACAGGTATAAACCAAGATAGGAATGTATCGATAACATGACAGGTATAAACCAAGATAGGAATGTATCGATAACATGACAGGTATAAACCAAGATAGGTATGTATCGATAACATGTCAGGTATTAACCAAGATAGGAATGTATCGATTACATGACAGGTATAAACCAAGATAGGAATAACATGTATAAACCAAGATAACATGAGGTATAATATAAACCATGACAGGATAGAATGTATCGATAACATGACAAATATAAACCAAGATAGGAATGTATCGATAACATGACAGGTATAAACCAAGATAGGAATGTATCGATAACATGACAGGTATAAACCAAGATAGGAATGTATCGATAACATGACAAATATAAACCAAGATAGGAATGTATCGATAACATGACAGGTATAAACCAAGATAGGAATGTATCGATAACATGACAGGTATAAACCAAGATAGGAATGTATCGATAACATGACAGGTATAAACCAAGATAGGAATGTATCGATAACATGACAGGTATAAACCAAGATAGGAATGTATCGATAACATGACAAATATAAACCAAGATAGGAATGTATCGATAACATGACAGGTATAAACCAAGATAGAAATGTATCTATAACATGACAGGTATAAACCAAGATAGGAATGTATCAATAACATGACAGGTATAAACCAAACAAGGAATGAATCGATAACATGGCAGATATAAACCTAAATAGGAATGAATCGATGATATGATATGTATCCCTAAAGAAATCATAGAATAGTGGTTCAAATTGCTGAAACTAGGTTATATATGCATTGTAAAAGAGTATTCAAATACAGAAGTGGGTAAAAAAGGAAAAATATATTGAATTTTTGATAAACATCATAACGGAATATCTAATTCTGAAACAGAACCCACTCTATTCGAAACGGAAATAATTTATGTATAAGAAAACGAAGCATTCTATGAGTAAATTTGACATACGGGATATGAAAACATTTAGTGTCATTTAATTTCAAAAACAATCTTCTGCTGCTTTTGAAGGGGTAATAATTTCATGTGTGATACCCTATTCTAAGCATCCGAGACTTTATGCTAAACGGTAAGCGTCCTCTTTTTCGTTGACGGGAATGGCCATGATACTTTCTTAAATGAGATTTTCTCTCGACACAATCAGTAGTTTGTTTATCTATCACCATCGAGTTTGTAAAGCACACGGATTTGTAGTGTTCCTGTACGTAATAGTTTCCTAACAAATACGTGCGTGTGGACATCTCCTTTAATTTAAAGAATTCACATGATCAATTGACCCAGTAACAAAATACGTTTGCCAAAGTCCTTTATCAGGTGTTACCACCAAACTCAACAAAAAAGTTATTTGGAAATACATGCCATATGACAACTATATCGTCAGTTTACTTCATAATGGCCTATGTCTCAAGAGAAATGCTCTAAAATATTTTCATTTTTAGTTTTTATATCTCAACAGAAATGCTCTAAAAGATTTTCATTTTTAGTTTTTATTCTTTCTCAAGGTACTAAGTTTAAATCCAGCATTCTCCCAATTCTCCTGCCGCTGTCTTCGAGTTCGACGGAATCGGAGAAATCGGACCTTTATTCTAAATGTAAGAAATTTCACATTACTTTGTAAATGATAACAAATAGAATACCTGCATCTCCTCAAAATATTATCCAACATGCACACAAAATAAATGTGGTTAACTATATTAGGATAGGTCTTTCTCATCAAAATTCTTTCGCTAGGTGCTGACAAATTTCGCATCACATGCATACTGAAAAGACTCCGCGGGAAGATCTTCATAATTTATTAGTTGCCATGGCTCATCTTCTGTTTCCGTAGACAGATTTGATTTGCATTGTCTGGCGAAGGTTTTGCAGTTGTAGACAGGTAGACAATACCGGTATTCCCCTAGCTTTGACCTTGCCATTTTCACGACTTCCTCGGGGTCTTTACTCACCCCTTGTTTATAGTTAATTCTAAACAATGGTTTAGAGAACGATACCCACTCCTCGACAACCCCGGCCTTGTATTTGTTGCGAATTACTTTGATTTTGTCGATTCCATTTTGCTCCACAACAATGGCATGACAGCGCGGATGTAGTATGCCTCTATATAACACGATATGGTCTCCACACTTTAAGTCACATATATTAGTCACTGCTCTGTCATCGGTTTTGAATGAAGAGGAAATCGCCTTCCCAATCACACTGCCAAGAGCAGTTCCGATATATTTACCTACCACTCCGCCTACGATCCCGCCTATAACTCCACCGACAAAGATACCCACTGGACCAAGCGGTGATCCAACAGCCATACCAATTAATTCCGGACCAAGCGAGAACAGTATAGTTACTCCAGCACTCAACACTCCTTCCACTACTCGTCGAATTGCTGTTTCAATAAAATCATTCCTAGATGTATTCCCGTGTTTTCTCTGTGCATAGACCTGACTCAAATCCCAAGTGACGAATCCCGTTTCCAGCATTATGATAATTCCAGCCCCAACAACATTACTAGCTAACATAACATGTTCGATTCCTCCTGATTGAAAAGGTCTTCCAGCTTCTACAGCTGTTTTCGAGACAGAGACAGTAGTTTGAAGAATTTTACATGTTGCGTTTATTGTTGATTTAGCAAATGTAGCTATGTTTTGTCCGAGGATCTCCCCTATTTTTCCTTCTACCCAGGCTAACTGGTGCGATTTTTCAACACCTGTTTTGCAGTAGGTTGCGAAAGATTCACAGTTGTCTGTAAAAGGAGAATACCCCGTATCATCTATTCTAGACCGTGCTCTTGCCAAGACCAGTTCCGGATCGTTCGTCTTTGTTATTTCCACGGGGTAATCTATACGGTACATTTTATTGAAAAGTCCTTCTTCGCTGGCTTCCACTTTAATTGAATCACGTAAAATTTTGATATTGTTTTCCTTCTTGTTCCAATGAATCAATTTTAGTTCGTTTGTTTCAGCCGCAACGTCCTCCACAATGGCATGGTGCCAGAAACAGTGCTGTCTGTGCCAGGAGATTTGGTCGCCTGGTTTCAGTATACTAGCGAAAATTCTCAAGTCAATCCGCGTTTTCGAGCTTTGAACCTGGAACGCTCTGTGTTCATCCAGCCCTTGGCTAGACCTTGGTGTATTTTCACTAAAATCCCCCTTGTCTTCATATCCGGCATGTATAACATATTCACGCGTGAGGTTTTCCGCCCTACATTCCTTACAAAACGTACCAATTAGTTCGTTGTTGCTATTATAGTAGCTTACTATTTTTAAGTTGTTGGGGCGTTGACAAAGACACCGATTCCAAGATGAAGAAACATCACTGTCATCTGTCGCCATCCTTCAATTCTGTAACACAAGGGAAATTAGAAAAAAATTATAATTGACATTTTGTACACAACCATGCCCTTAATATTTTGATCAATTTGTTCTGCACTACAATAAAATCAAATCAACCAATTAAAATATACCAGATTGTCATTACAACATAAAATGAATCTCGTTATCAAAGTCTATTAAGTTTCCGAAAATTATCAATCTGCAAGGATTATTAGAAGTAAAGATGTCCACACGTACACATTTACGTTTCATAAATACATACGTTTAAATTATTTAAAATGTAGATGAAATTACTTGAGAGTGTACGTCCTCGCCTTAAATTAGTTACAAATCCCTGCTGGCAATTTTATAGGTAATTTGTGTGTATATATCTGTTACTACACAGATAGGATATAACGTGCAGGATGTAGTGTGATTTCATCCAACCAACGTATTATAAACATACCGTGATGTGTATCGCTTATGTTCCAGATTAACATATAACGATTATATACGATTGTTATAGTTGTACCTAAAGTGTTGGCTGTATAAGGTTTGTATATGGTGGTAGCAGTCATAGACAGTCCACAAATGGAAATGGAAAAATGGTCCATTCTCCTACGTCACTCTCATCGGCACTATTTTAGTGAATGGATGTGCTTGGATAGCCTGTCGATAAAAACAAGAATATACCAAAGTTTAAACAAAACGATAATCTAAACTCAAATTCAATAAGACCAAAGCAAAATATCCACAAAATAATGTTTTACATGGAGATTTCTGAAACATTACGGCCAGAGAAAGCATCTGATATATCGACTACAACAGCCATGTGAATCTTGGTCGATCCATGAAAGTAATGTCACGTTCTCAAATGAGAACAAGGTATAAAACAACGTAAATGACAGGTAAACTAACGAGCATCAAATATGTCTATCTTAATATCGCACAGAAAAGTGAAATATTTCTCAATGAGATCACTATGGCGACTGTAAAACTTCTCCATAATTTTCACCAACTTGCATCTTGAAACCCTGTGTTATGAGTGTGTTTTCAGTTGATGACAACTAGCACGGAAATCGTTATACTGGGCACAGGCTCTTGGATACCTTTTAACACCATATATCCCGAACACAGTGATGGCAATGTAAATATCAAGCTATAGATTATTACATTGTATAATATTTAATATTTATAGAGCTAAAATAAGCATTTTCTTACCAACGAGCAAAACGCACCATTTATAGGAATGAAATACCTCCAAAAACAGTAACAACTGAAAGTCATGTTCTTATCATTGAGAAACACAACTGTTAAATAGAAAACTGTTTGGTAATTTCATATACATATATGCTTCTATTTTTAATTGGAATGATAGTTGCAACTTACGTATGGATTTCGTGTAAAACCCTGCCAGGAAGTAGGTAAAATGAGACCCTTCTGCGTTGGATACACTATCAGAGGATAAAATCTATTCGGTCTATAATTCTTAAAAGAATACGCAGCACACATCTGGGTTAAATCCACACATAAGGATTTACATAACAGATATGTCATTGTGCTTGCAGACAATGCACCCAGTAACATTACCTTGCCTGTAGACACCGTTACATTCCTACATGAAACAAAACTAGGTTTGCTAGATAATGAAAGGAAAACCTACCAAAACTTTTTTTTTCAATATTTCTTAAAATGAAATACTGTATAATCATTCTTCTGTAATAGTCATTTAAATTGCTTGTTAATAATTAGTAAACGGACATGCCTTGTCTGTAATGGATACCGTATCTTCACAATAGTTCACATAAACAGTGTTTTATTTCTAGCTTGTCTAGTTGTTTGCCAAAACCGTTGTCAACGCTTCTTACCGTAATTCCAAGTAATGTCCTATCAGGATTTAATCACAAAATAAATTTTATCTGGCTTTCAAAGAATAAGTTTTGACTTAGCTTCAACATCCTTTACACAAGAAAAAGTTCTTATATTTGAATTTCCTACTCTGTACACCACTATTACGCTTTCTTAATTGAACGCCTTCATACTGTTGTTGAACTATGCTGAAACTTATTTCGTGAAAAATACTTTTAAATATTGAATTCCTGGTTGACAATCCACCCCAACACACTATTTGCATACCTTCTAGATTGGGAAACTTGATCATAAATAAGTTGATATTTATTTTCACGTTTTTTGACAATTGGTGATGAAGTTATCCGTAGATTTTGCTTTTGGTAATTTTTTTTTTTAACCCAAATTTGTCTATACATATAACTGGCATTTTAGTAAATGGTCTTTTTCGAAAATACATCTTTTTTGTTATTTCACTAGAAAAAAGTGCAAAGCAACTTGTGAGTACCGGTTCTTTTGTAGTATTCTAAGCACGTTGATAAAATTGGTCATCAGCTAGGCATAAAGTAATTTATATAATTTTGCTTAGTTATCACTTAAATTGTTCCGGATCAAATATTTATCTCGAGTTTTCATATTATTATCACAGCAGACCGCGGTAGTTCTATTGATATTTTGGTTTACTTTATCTTGTGACCTATGAATAATTCTTCCGTGTAGTTTATGACATTCTCTTGAACCATCTCATCCACAAATCTAATGTATCCTTCTAATCATATTAATGTGGGGTAAATCTTCTGTTTTGTTTGGACGTGTTTTGACATTGTATAAGATAAACTTATTTTTGACCTTTTTTGACTGGCTTCTTCCCGTATTTGCGCTTGTCATGAAAGATATATAGCGTAATATTATGACGCAACCCTCTCTTTTTTTCCTTTGTGTACATTTTATTAACGTATTGGTGCTGGTAAGGTTCTGGTTTACCAGCGAGCTAGGTCTATAGCAATGAAGAGATTTTTGTATGTGTACCGGAAGTGCAATCTTGTTAATATAATTGCTTATAAAGCAGGAGGATGGAGTTGTTTTTTTGAAGGGTTTTCAGTCTTCAAACTCGTTCTATTATACATCATCTTTTATTTCCAATCTCATATTTCACTTTAACGTCGTTCTCAGTATATTCAATCTCGTCATGCTTACGTTCGTCACTGCTCTCAACATGCGGACACATAATTTTTTACTTACCAACAGGAAGACATACGTTATACGTTCATTTTCAATATAAACAATGTACATCAAAATACATTAAAAATAAGAACATTTGTTGAGCACTTAAACCACTTGTGTAATATATATTTGCATATGGTGTTAGCAATTTTGTCTTAAAAAACAATAATGATATCATTATTTCAACCACACAGTATTTGTAAAGGAATCAAACTGAAATTCGTACATCGAGCTTCATATATATACACAATTGTAACAGCAACGTTTCGACATACGAAAACATCAAATCAACACAACAGCTTTTCATGTTGCTACAAGGAATGTGTCACATCAAACAGTCTTATTCAGAGTCGACAAATTTGGAACCGCATGGCTGCTGCAGAGCCTCTTCTGGCAGGTCTTCATAATTTATCATTTGCCATGGCTCCTCTTCTGGTTCTACATATAGATTAGATTTACATTGTCTGGCAAAGGTTTTGCAGTTGTAGGTAGCCAGACTATATCGCTTTTCCCCGAGTCTCGACCTGGCCATTTCCACGACTTTTTCTGGGTCTTTACACGTTCCTTCTCGGTAATCCACCTTGAACATTGGAATGGAGAACGGTATCCACTCCTCCACAACACCGGCCTGGTATGTGTTGCGAATTACTTTGATTTTGTCGATCCCATTTTGTTCCATGACTATGGCATGACAGCGCGGATGAAGTAACCATTCGTATACAACTATATGGTCGCCACACTTTAAGTCACATATGTTAGTCACTGCTCTATCATCGGCTTTGAATGAAGAGGAAATCGCCTTCCCAATCACACTGCCAAGAGCAGTTCCGACAAATTTACCTACCACTCCGCCTACGATCCCGCCTATAACTCCACCGACAATGATACCCACTGGACCAAGCGGTGATCCAACAGCCATACCAATTAATTCCGGACCAAGCGAGAACAGTATAGTTACTCCAGCACTCAACACACCTTCCACTACTCGTTGGATAGCTGTTTCGATAAAATCATTCCTTGATGTGTTCCCTTTTTTTCTTTCTTCATACGCATTATACAAATCCCAAGTGACGAACCCCGCTTCTAGGACTATGACAATGCCAGCTCCAACCAGGTTACTTCCCTTGACAGCACGTTCAATTCCTTCTGCTGGAATGATTTTTCCAGCCGCCATAGTTGCATCCTGCATTGTAGCTGGTAGTGTTTGCTTCGCAACAGAAACTGTTTTTTGAACTATTCTGCACGTTCCAGTTATAGTTGACCTGACACTTGTACCTATATTTTGCCCAGCTATCTCTTTTAATTTTCCTTTAAGCCATGCTAGTTGATGCGACTTCTCCACGCCTGTTTTGCAGTAGGTTGCAAAGGATTCACAGTTGTCGGTAAAGAGAGAATACCCCGTATCATCTAGTCTAGACCGAGCTCTTGCCAAGACCAGTTCCGGATCGTTCGTCTTTGTTATTTCCTCCCGATAATCAATGCGGTACATCTGATTGAAAAGTCTTTCTTCGCTGGCTTCCACTGGGAAAGGACTGCGTAAAATTTTGATATTGTCATCCTTCTTGTTCCAGTGAATTAATGTTAGTTCGTTTTTTTCGGCAGCAACTTCTTCGACAATGGCATGATGCCATGCAAAATAAGGTCTGTGCCAGGATATATGGTCTCCTGGTTTCAGGATATCAGCGAAATATTTCAGGTCTATTTTTGTTTTCGAACTTTGAACTTGAAACGCTGAGTTTTCGCTCAAAGTCGGAACAGGTCGGGGAAGCATTTTTAGTTTTTCACTGCTGCTTTCTTCATCTGCATCAACATCGCTGCCTACTAAATATTCACGTGTGAGGTTTTCCGTGTTACATTCCGTACAAAACAATCCGATCAGCTTGTTTTCACTGCTAAGGTAGCGTCTAAGTTTGAAGGTATCGCGTCGTTCACATAAACATTGAAAAGAATAATTGCCTCCATCCGCCATGTTGTTCCTCTGTAACACCAAAAGACGTATTGTGGTTATGAAATATCTGTAAATGAAACAAAGTGTATATAAACATCACAATAATATTTCATTTATAATCAATCTGTCGGTTACAGTTTGCATTTAAACATTTCAACTTGTCATTCATATTGGAGAAACCAAATAAACACATTATTCTGGTCATTTTAACTCGAACCTAAATGTATAATACACATAATAACAAAGTTAGATTTTAATTGTAACATAGGAGTAAGGCACATTCTAGCACAATATTGCTGTTTAAGATAACTAGTAAACTCCTTCCTTTTGCGTGCAATTTGAAAGGCAGTTTGTGTATATGTGTAATTACTCAAAACAGGATATAGCGTGACCGTAAAGAACCTATGATCTTCCTAAGTCACATGTATACATATAAACAATCGCCTGAAGATTGCCGCTAGGCCTGAAAACGTTAGCGAAGTACAGTGTTGATTTCATCTATAGTTTAACATATATACTATAAGTATACAATTATCCTTAATCGTTGGTCCTTATAGTGAACATTTACTGTAATAATGAGCTAGGCTAGTAATACGGACATATGATATGCTTGTTTCATTGTCAACCTGCTGTGAGGCTCTGTAGGGGAGGAGGATAACACATTTGAAAACATCAGAAAAATAACACATGGTCATTCGTTGATGACGATGAGGTTTTGTCGACATAATACGCATATCTATTTAGTACAGGTACATGACAATAGGTAATGGAAAGAATATATCTTCATTAAAACCTAGAACCTAGAACCTGCAGCCTGTGCCGTGATCAATTGACAAACTTTTATTCCATCTTGTTATATATAATTATATTACCTATCTAATCTTACTATTCTTTAACACTATAATTTAAATGATGGTAATGCTTGCCAAACATTTCTGTTAGATAATTATTCATCTGAATCTATATTCTAAATTCTTATTCCTGTAATGCTATCATTATTATTTAATATCTTAAATTTTGATTGATGTGTATGTGTACTTGTTAAAGTTGTATAGAGAGGGCTTCCATAGGCTCTGCCTGTTGCCCAATTCCATTTGTCATCAACATCAAGACAATAAAATATTCTGAAATGAAAAACATTATAACCTAGAAATTCCGGTAAACATACATCGGTATATGTAAACTGTATACACACAAAAATAAGTTTAGTCTAAAACGAATTGGAATTGTTTGTTTTGTGAAACGAAAATGAGTTTAAAAAATTACAAATAATTTGCCAATATAAAAAAACAGAACATCTGCAGCAAGTAGATACCCCATTACTAGTTTACTTTTTAATGTTCTGTTCAAATCAAAAACAATTTTTACTTTTAGGTGTCGGCCTTCCAAAATATTACCGCAGATGACGGTTTTGAATGATAATACATGTATTGTAATGCATTACTCTTTATTAAGTATTTCAGCACACGACATTATTTTCAGTTTTTGATCGTTTTCACATATCAATAATCATGTTGTCGTTGACATTTATCGCTCTGCATATAACAAAAACTTACATAAAAATTTACAGGGTATGTCCTATGAGAAAACGATGCAATATGAACTCATCGCGGTATTTGAATAGCCTGATTCTTTCATCTTCAATATACCTGCCGAGATAAAACTATAGCGTGATATTAACGAATCGCTTCTCATAGCCAGATAGGTATTATTTAACGGCACAGGGGTTATTTGTATTCTTAATGGAGTTACATCTAAACCTTACTCGAAAGATTCATACGACATTTCAGTTGCGATAATTAGATATGTTTGCCTAAAATTTAAGAAGCTGGTGCACATATAAGTGTAACGGTAACCACAAATTTTACGACAACTATAATACATAACTAGTAGTTTGTAGAAAGGGTTTTTCATATTCGAACCATTTAACATCGCAAGTGTGTCGATATCACCGATCACAGCAAAACAGGTTATTTTCTCAAAAAAAGACTCAAAATGTCAAATTCCTTTACATCAAATTGATAAACAGTGCGTTTACACATAAGTGAGATAAGCAATATTGTGGTTAGTACAAAGTATTTTGCCTACACTAAATAACACATGAATCATACTTTCATTATAATATGTGATTCTGTGTTTTAATTATTCTAACAATATATCATAACACTTAAAATCATTACAACATATTGCACACACTTATTTGTACAATTTGTTAAAGAAATAACATTTATTTAAATAAAGAATAAATTATTAGATTTAACAAACTGTTTCCGTTGGAGGAAATGGAATAGCAAAAAAGACATTGCTTTTTTGTGGTCATTAGTATAATTAGTGATAAATCCCAGTAACATGTTTGTTGTCAGCTAGGTATCAAAACAGTCAAGGGGTTACATCCTGCCTCGTGGTGACTAACGACGTAGCATTGCTTATGTATGTCCCCTGTAAACATGCACAATACTTGTTATTTAAAAATTGCCATGTTAGTGAAAGCCTGAATCAAACTGAGGCGTGTTAATCTTCTCGGTCGTCAGTAAACTCTAAAACACAAACTTATGATAAGAAACAAAATTCCCCTACTATCACATACACCATGTATGTTAATTCATCAACATCACCCAAACCTCCTGTTTATATCACCCCTTGTCAGTCAAATCGTTTGCTACAAATAACATACACAGGACTTACCTGTTTTAACTAGAGCTAGGCGATGTCTTTACACACATAGCAAGGATATTTAACTTATGTGGCGGTGTTCAAAGCGTCTTCTGCTTTTGTTGTTGTATGGGAAACCCAACACTTCAAGTTTTGGCTGTTGGGAATCCCCACTTTGGTTATGTAGCAGAACGCTAGTCTAGTATGGACTTGTTTCAGTTGAAGACTTCACGTGATGTTTATTTTTTTTCGTAAAACGTTTTATTCTAAATGTCAAGGTTATACTGTAGGCGTTATAGCTTTGACTGGCGATAACGAAAATCTAATCATGTGTCGAATTTATCTGTTATTTAGTGTAGAATCAGTTTGAGGGCACAGACGAAACACATACCTGTTCAACATCATGATGTTACACTTATGACTACAAGGAGCTGTTCAACATGGTGATGTTACTCTAACAAATACAGAGAGGTGTACAGCATCACAGTTTTAAACCAATATCTAAACGGATCTGTACAAAATCTTAGTTTTACACCTATATATACACGGAGGTGTACAACATCGCAGTTTTAAACCAACACCTACACGGAGGTGTACAGCCTCGTAGTTTTACACCAACACCTACACATATTTGTACAATATCATGATATTACACTATCGATTTTCAAGAGCTTTTAACAACACCTACACATATTTGTAAATATCATGATATTACACAGAGCTATGATTTTCAAACACAGAGCTGTTGAACACCGTGTTATAACGAATACACAGAGCTGTTTACCACCTTGTTATAACGACTACACAAAGCTGTTTAACACCGTGTTATAACGACTACACACAGCAGTTCAAAACCGTGTTATAACGACTACACAGAGCTGTTTAACACCGTGTTATAACAAATACATAGATCTTTTTAACACCGTGTTATAACGAATACACAGAGCTGTTTATCACCTTCTTATAACGACTACACAGAGCTGTTTAACACCGTGTTATAACGACTACACAGAGCTATTTATAACCGTGTTATAACGACTACACAGAGCTGGTAAACACCGTGTTATAAAGATTACACACAGCAGTTTAAAACCGTGTTATAACGAATAAACAGAGCTGTTTAAGATCGTGTTATAACGACTACACAGACCTGTTTAAAACCGTGTTATAACGACTACACAGAGCTATTTAAAACCGTGTTATAACGACTACACAGAGCAATTTACATCGTGTTATAATGAATACACACATCAGTTCAAAACCGTATTATAACAACTACACACAGCAGTTTAAAACCGAGATGTTTATCACCGTGTTATAACGACTACACGGAGCATTTTACAACCGTGTTATAACGAATACACAGAGCTGGCCAACATTGTTCTGTTACACCATCAACTACACATATTTGTACAAACATCATGTTATCACACCCACAATTACACAGAGCTGGACAACATCGTGTTGTCACACTAGAGGCTACAAAAGAAGGCAAAAAATCTGTTGACGCCATATGATAGCTAAAATGTAAATTATTGCTACAGAAAGAAAACAACCTAAAGAAACATTTGATTTTCAAAATGATATGTAAATGCTGCTTTATGACAACTGCTAAACTGAGCAACTTTGCTTTCAGAAATCGCACTATAAAAGGAATAAATAACAGATTTGAAAATGTTGTCTTTAACAAATCTAGAATAACACTTGTACTTGTAATATGCGCTTACAACCCTTGTGATGTAACGAGATATGTGTAAAGTGCCGCAAGTGTACACACAATGTTGTTAGATATGACCTTTGTTTTATGAACAGTGCGTTAAATGTTTTACATACCAGCTGGTATGTAATTCTACTGTCTATTTTTAGCCACCGGGGATCCCAAACATATGCTATATTTAATCATGTAAATTCCTTAACTACGAACTGATAGATGATGAAATGCCCTGTAGAATTATGTCAGCATGTTGCAATGCATATAAGCAGGATTTGGCAATCACTTTGAGGGCACAGACCTGTCTTTGTTAGTTTTATACTATCACAGACATAAAACACACACCATATGGAAATTTTGAGGAAAAATAAATCAGGAAATGTTTCTTCAGGTTACCTCCGTGTGGTTGTCTTTTCGATGTTTGAAAATAGGACAAACATGTTTGTATCGGTGGCCAAATAATAATTTGCTTTGAATGTACTAAGATGTGTTACTGTCCGAAGTATAGAAGGTTATGAAATAATCCTAGCAAAATATGTCCAAATAAAAAAATAACGAAAGGCCTTTGGCCCTTTGAAATATATCATATTTTGCATATCGTGGTGTAAACTTGAACTCATTTCAATGCGTAACGAGAAGCAAGTCAATATCTCCTCATTACGGATGGATGGACGGAACAACAACAGGAGGAAAAAACAATTAGTCTATACAGCCCCTCCTTAAGGGGAAGGAGGAACAAAACGTTACTTACGATGAAGTAGTACAAATATGAAGAAAGGATTATGCAATGACATCAATTTTTACATATCTGATATCATTTCAATCTATATGAATATCTTAAAGTATTCTGACGATAACTCTTAGTTATGATGGACCAAGTTTATCATCTAAAGAAAAAGATAAATAACATGCTGAAATAGCAGAATTGAAATTATATTCAGGCAAAATACAAATTACTTATTATCTAACAATACAATAGCATTAAAAATGTTCAGAGATGAGAGTTTTTGTATTCAATACAACTTGAAATACGGAAATGCTAATTCGGGATACTAACTCCGGTATTGACTTAGATCTTACACAAACACTTAAGTTTGACAAAAATAAAAATTGTTTAGTGAGAACATTTTATGTGGTCTTTGATGAAAAAGATCTCAGCGAGGTAGAAAGTTGGGAAAATGAAACATTTCAAGTTGTGAATATGCTTTAAAACGGAGAAATTTGGAACCACAAGGATTCATCATGGAGTGAAGTACAATCAATTATTGAAATGTTCATATGGTATCATAGATTATTAAATACGGAACATAATAATTTTCTATTAGAAGTGCGATATCAAACGACAATTTCATTTAACGTCAGTGTCTGCTTTCTGTGAATTAAGACGGCTATTCGATACGAAGGTAATGAGATTATTGCTACTAAATCTATCAAGTACTACACAACAATATCCATACATATAAGAGGTAAAATATAATACAGTTTACAAGAAATTTTATATAATGAAAACACCACAAGAGGTAAGAAACAAGAGTATCAGTGATACTGAATACAGGTTTCTTTGAGAGAAACTTTGACCATACAAAATTCTGTACTTACGGGATTTAAGGTGGCAGTGAATTTGGTTCACTGAACATCCTTTGTATGATAAATGCATACACCAAATTCAGATCTCCTGGCTTAATTGGAACCAAAGAACGGACGGATAGACAAAGGAACGGACTGAACGGGCGGCACCTACAAGCATCCCTGAAAATTTTGGATAGCGTTAAATAATTTTATTTATTAACGAAACACATACCTGTTCAACATCATGATGTTACACTAATGACTACAAGGAGCTGTTCAACATGGTGATGTTACTCTAACAAATACAGAGAGGTGTACAGCATCACAGTTTTAAACCAACACCTACATGGAGGTGTACAGCATCGTAGTTATACACCAACACCTACACATATTTGTACAACATCATGATATTACACTATCGACTTTCAAGAGCTGGATAACATAGTATCAGAACCCAATGACAACACCCCCTCCCCTGTGTTATAAGGGCTACACAGAGCTGTTTAAAACCGTGTTATAACGACTACACAGAGCTGTTGAACACCGTGTTATAACGAATACACAGAGCTGTTTACCACCTTGTTATAACGACTACACAGAGCAGTTCAAAACCGTGTTATAACGACTACACAGAGCTGTTTATCACCTTCTTATAACGACTACACAGAGCTGTTTAACACCGTGTTATAACGACTACACACAGCAGTTCAAAACCGTGTTATAACGACTACACAGAGCTGTTAAACACCGTGTTATAACGATTACACACAGCAGTTTAAAACCGTGTTATAACGAATAAACAGTGCTGTTTATGATCGTGTTATAACGACTACACAGACCTGTTTAAAACCGTGTTATAACAACTACACAGAGCTGGTAAACACCGAGGTATAACGATTATATTGAGCTGTTTAACACCGTGTTATAACGACAACATAGAGCTGTTTCAAACCGTGTTATAACGACTACATAGAGCTGTTTCAAACCGTGTTATAATGACTACACAGAGCTATTTAACACCGTGTTATAACAAATACACAGAGCTGATTAACACCGTGTTATAACGACTACACACAGCAGTTAAAAACCGAATTATAACGAATACACAGAGTTGTTTAACACCGTGTTATAATAAATACACAGAGCTGTTTAACATCATGTTATAACAAATACACAGAGCTGTTTATAACCGTGTTATAACGAATACACAGAGATGTTTATCGCCGTGTTATAACGACAACACACAGCAGTTTAACACCGTGTTATAACGACTACACAGAGCTGTTTATAACCGTGTTATAACGAATACACAGAGATATTTATCACCGTGTTATAACGACAACACACAGCAGTTTAAAACCGTGTTATAACGAATTAACAGACCTGTTTAAAACCGTGTTATAACGACTACACAGAGCTATTTAAAACCGTGTTATAACGACTACACAGAGCAATTTACATCGTGTTATAATGAATACACACATCAGATCAAAACCGTATTATAACAACTACACACAACAGTTTAAAACCATGTTATAGCGAATACGCAGAGCTGTTTAACATCGTGTTATAACGACTACACACAGCAGTTAAAAACCGAATTATAACGAATACACAGAGTTGTTTAACACCGTGTTATAACGATTACACCCAGCAGTTTAAAACCGTGTTATAACGAATAAACAGAGCTGTTTAAGATCGTGTTATAACGACTACACAGACCTGTTTAAAACCGTGTTATAACAACTACACAGAGCTGGTAAACACCGAGGTATAACGACTATATTGAGCTGTTAGCACCGTGTTATAACGACAACACAGAGCTGT